GACTAGGCTTTCATGGTGGTTCGCGCCAATCTTTTATTTCAATTGTGAACAAATAAAGAATAGCGGATTCTATAAAAAAATTTCGTGGATTTTCAAATTTTAAGGACAATAGAATTTTGTTGGAGGCTAATTTTTGAAATTTTGATTGATCTTAAACCTTTCCTGGGGTCTTGTGATGTCCCACACAAAATTTAGGCCCGATTTGTTCAACCGTTTTGACGTTTATTGGGTACAAATAAACAAACAAACAAACAAACACACAAGCAACGTATATATATATAGATGAAGGTAAAAGATAAAATGAAACAAATACATAAGTAGTAGAAAGAGGAGTCATAACATTTTTGTTGGAATCTCTGGATCAAGAATTGATATTATTCAGATTTACAGATTAACTTAAGTCCTCTTCGATATCAAGCGTTTATATTGGAGCGTGTTACAGATTTAAATTGCGAATCCGTGACTTATCAGAAAATCTAAAGAACGAACTATTAATGAAAATTTTATATTGCTAATAAAAGTCTTGGCATCAGAAAATACTAGATTTTCCGAATATTATTGCGTAAACCAGTGTTATAAGCCTCGAGATAATCTAACATGACCATGGAACGTAGCTCTGTAACTGAGAAATAAACAAGAGGTAAAACCATAGAGAATACAATTTATATTCTATTCTCTATGGGTAAAACGCTTAATAAATTCCTTAGAGTCATCTCTGGCCTCTTATTCTTTGTGGGTAACCCTGCATAGGTAATATACAGGATTACTCTCAAATAATGAAACTTCAAAGACGACATTGATTTTTATTTCGTCTTTTCCCTTACATTAATGGTTTTAATATGTGATAAAGTATTATTCCAAAAATTAATATTAACTTTATATATTTACAAAGCTTCAGGTTATCAACACAGTATCATGCTGTCCGGGTAACCCTGTATATAAACATTTACTATTTTCCGATAATTGATTGATTGATTGATTAATTGATCACTAAACGTAGCACTGTATATATAGAACATTGGGACACCTGGAGAAAATACAGAACGAAACTGAAGAATTTAAAGAATAAAATGGTTTCCCCCTAAACAAAGGGGTGAATAATGCCAAACAAGTTGTCAATTTTACTATTTTATTGTTAACACATTTTTGCAGGAGGGGGGGGGGGGGTGAAATTTGTTTCATATTTTCCAAAATATGTTTATTTATATATATACTCCCTAAAAATGAAGGTCAAGGCCTGAGAGTGCTTAAACCGGAATTGAAGAACCAGGGTTTACATCTAGTTCTTAACAAAATTTTAAGTTTCTGTTTTCAAATGGCGCAACAAGCTCTTTTCTGATAAGAGGGTCAAAAATTGGACTGTCTTATCCGTGTTGAAATTTTTTTATTATGAAAGCAGGTTTAAAATGGACCTTTAAGTCTTAAAAAGCGGATTGGGTTTCAAAACATCAAAAAACAAACGTCGAACTACATAATGTCTAATAACAAAATATTGTCCGTAAAAAAAAAAATTTGACAGAAAATTTTTTAAAACTTTTTTATATTACCCCCGCGCGGGACACCCCTGGGTTTCCTCAAAAATTTCAGCCCATTCGGTCCAGCCGTTTGGCCGGCTATAGGGGACATATATACGAATGTCTTGTTTTATTTTATAGAAGATAAAAAGATTTCCATTCATCTTTTCTCCAGATAGATAGATAGTGCAACATCAGCAGTTTTAAATCTATCATATCAAACTCATTCTTCAGATCAATAGATTATATGGATTCATACTTCAGATCAAAAGATCATATGAAACTCATTCTTTAGATCAATAGATTATATGGATTCATTCTTCAGATCAGTAGATCATATGGATTCATTCTTCAGATTAAGAGATCATATGGATTCATTCTTCAGATCAATAGATCGTATGGATTCATTCATCAGATCAATAGATCGTATGGATTCATTCTTCAGATTAATAGATCATATGAATTCATTCTTCAGATCAGTAGATTATACGGATTCATTCTTCAGATCAGTAGATTATACGGATTCATTCTTCAGATCAGTAGATTATACGGATTCATTCTTCAGATCAATAGATCAAATGGATTCATTCCTCGGATCAATAGATCGTATGGATTCATTCTTCAGATCAATAGATCGTATGGATTCACTCTTCAGATTAATAGATCTTATGGATTCATTCTTCAGATCAATAGATCGTATGGATTCATTCTTCAGATCAATAGATCATATGGATTCATTCTTTGGTTGATTGGGCAATCGATTAAATTGTTAACAAATTGATCACAAATTGTTCAAAAATTGTTCACAAATTGATCACAAATTGTTCACAAATTGATCACAAATTGGTTACAAATTGTTAACTAATTTAACACAATATGATCACTTATTGGTCACATTGTGGACACAAATTGTTAACAAATTGGACACAATATGATCACAAATTGGTCACAAATTGATCACTATATGATCACAAATTGGTCAAAATTTGGACATAAATTGGACACAAATTGGATACAAATTGGACACTGCATTTATTTGCGAAACAGATTGAACCGAAATTTCGCGAAAAAAGCGAAAATATTTTTCGCAAAAAATGCAAAACGACTTTTCCTTTTCGCTGCAAACCCTAAACCCGTCCCACCAACCAATCTATCTCTATATCTGGAGCAGTTCAATTCTTTTTTTTTTCTTCTTTATCGCAAAAGCAGAGAAACAAAATTTTAAAATTAACAATTTTTAGAACAAAAAACATTCTCTCCGTCTCCTCTGTAAAAAATAAAAATTCAATCGTGATTATATTTGAAAAACTAATTTATATAAATGACAATGTTATCATATTTATGTGTAGGAAAAATAACATGCAAACAATCTAATATATTAAGCAAGTTTACAACATATGTACATCACCAAAATGAAGGCACAACATACTTTAGGACAAAATTATAAATATCAACTAGATCTAAGAACACGGTTTTAGTGTTCCATGACTATATAAATTTGATCAAAGTTACGAATTTGTAAAAAATATAATTGTACAATTCAATGTCGAATATGAACAACCTTAGAAGTGATGTTTGATTGATGGAGTAAAAGATTTTTAATGTGATTTTTTCAGATTATGATATTTGCGTTTTACTTAATCACAATATTTTATTAACAAAACAAAAAAACGCTAAAAAAACTTGTGAAATGGACCAGTATATTTATTTATTTATTTGACATAGATTAATTTTTTAAAAATTTTATGTAATTAATTAAAAGAAACTATTCCTGTTCTGACTGGGGAAAAATTGTAATGTTGTTAAGAGCATGAAAAGTTACAGAGATAACATCCAATACTGCCAAATCTGTGAATGTTGATTCTCTTTGGTACTTTCAAACTAAATTGTAGTGCGTTATATATATATATATATATATAAATACATATTTGACTGTGTAGCAAGGAGTAATTTTTGTAATTGAATCATTTAAAGTCCAATTCATGTTTTAAACCCGAACAGTTAAGAACATTTCATTTTTTTGTTTCGATTTAGATACAATATTAAGTTATTAATTATTGATTAAGGCCAAATTAGGTAAAAAAGACCAAGAATATATTCTTACAAATTCAATCACTACATAAGCAATCCAAAAAACAATTTACAACTAAAATATTTGTTGCCAAGTTTTCTGAAGTAATAAGTAATAAACAGTATAAGCTCGATTTTGTGAAAATAAACAATAATTTAGTTAAATACTAGGTTAAAATACTTTAACTTGAATACGGGTTTGGATCAACCAAAAATGAATCCAGGAACATATATTTTTGATTCTAACCTTCCCTCCTTTCTTAAAAATAAATAGTTTTTTGTCCTTAGACTTTAATATGATGCTATAGAATGAAAGAGGTGGGAAGTAAAACTTAAAGTCCTCAAGCGTGAAAGTTTTGTAGAAAAAAACAGCAAAGTTTGATGGGGAGGGGGGTGAGGGGGAGGAGGGGGGAGTTTATCTTGAAAAATTCCTCTATAAATATAAAAAATACTGAGTAGATTAAAAAAAGAAACGTATCTGTTATTATCTGTAAAAATGCTTGATTTTGAATTGGATCACTATAATACACAATAATGAATTGATTGATTTAGAAACATTTTATAAAGAAATGCATAATTGTTGCGTAATGTTAAACTGTATATGTGTGAAGAAAAAAAATATTTAGTACATTCATGGTAATCCTGTAAACATTTCTTTGAATTTGTTACCGAAAAAAAATGGGATAAAATGCTTAAGTAAATGAAATATATGAAATTGCGAAAACGTATTTGTCAAAGATAATCAGAATTCAGCCCCTAAATATCTTTTATACAAGAATGAAACATTTTTAATTCAAAAATTGAAATAAATTTTTCACATTTTAAACACATAAATTAAGCATTGCTTATAATATTGAATTTTATTTTAACTTTTGTTTTAACAGTTCTTCTTTATCTTTTACTTTAAAATTTTCAAAGTTTTAGATACAAATGCATTTTGATAAAGAAACATCATTCAAACATTTCAAATTTGAAAAAGCTTGAAAATCTTACAACAATCTACAAAATATCGTATTGGATATTTAGCACATAATAGTATTTTTAACAAACTAAACAAACTGTATGTAATAGATTGGTGGTGAATAAATTGGGTCTTTGCCACAAACTAAAATTTTCTATTCTCTATATTTTTTCAACCGAATAGTGTAAATCATTGATATTTGAAACTTAGATCACTTAGTCTAACTGAATTCATAGTTTGAAATATCTAAGGTCTATGACACTGGGTTGCAAAGAAGTAAGGAATCGAAAATTAGAGTTTGTGGCATATACTCAATTCTTTTAACATAATTTTAATTTAAAAAAGCTATTATATATATTCTAAAAAGTTTGCCTGTGTGTTTGATCGGTAGAAAATGCTCAATTTTTGTAATATTTTCTGGACTGTGAATTGTGAAAAGATATCGATTTCTGACATTTTTCTTTTACAAAACATATCACGTGACTCCGTATCAAGGAGAAGTATGGAAGTATGGCTAGAGATCCTGGTACCCTAGAGTCATGTTGAGACAGAGTGAATGATCCCTTTTATCCCCCCACCCTCCGTTACCCTTCTTTAATTTAACTTTCTTTTTGACAGCACTCTCTACTATTGTTAATCTAGAAAAAATCATCATCGTGAAATTTTATCAATGTTTCAAAATATTTAAGTTTTTTTTCTAATTTTTTTCAGAAATGATTTTTAACGCATGATTTTTTGAGAAAAACTTAAGATAAAAAAATTTAACCTCAACCTGTACACTTTTTAAATTTGAAATAGTGTTGCCAGTTTTTTTGTCAATACTTTATTTTGAAATATACTTTATTTTTTATTTTATTGTGATGTTTTTTTTCCTGTCGGGGAATAGATACTGCTTGGCAGAATCAATGATGTATTTCACCTAAAACCAAAAAAAATAAAAATCACTAAATTGTTTTTATTAACCATGTTTCTAGCAAATGTAACTGCAGCCTGAAATCTATTTTCAACTTTTTTCAATTTTCCATCTTTTATTTTCAGATTTTTTTATTTTCATTTTGTTCCTTGTTCATGACTAGGCTGGTAGCACAATCCTTCTTCTTATGATGAACTCCACTAAAATATATTTTATTTAAGTCATAAAGATGGAAATTAATAGAACTAAAAGACAAAAACAAGATTTAGATTCAACTCTAGATGATAAACTTTGTTTTCTGAAACGTCTCAAGGTTAGAGCNTGGGTCAATCCAAGTTTAAGAATTAAACGCTTTTCTTTTTGTTTGTTTTTTATTTGACAAGGAGGATCTAGATCTTAAATTTCTTAAGTTTTCTGGAAACCGTGAAATGTTTAATACGTCAATTTTTGTCTCAAAATAGCAAATGAGGCGCAAATTACAGGGTAAATTTGAGCTTTTTTGATTTTTATTGGATTCCGTATTTTTTAATAGCCATAAAATTAGTGAAATAAAAGTTTTGGTGAAATCTTACCATTCTCCTATATGGAAAACTCTTGGTCCTCTCACCATCAAGGTTTGAAGCTTATCCCTCAAACAGTTCAAGGATACGTGGAGCAGAGACCAATCCCAATTATAGTCGTCATACTAATACAAACAAAATGTTTATATAATAAACAACATTTAAGGTCCAATTCTTAAAGTTTGGTCGGAGCGCCAAGCTCTCTGTCGAACCCGACAAAAATGATTTGCAAACTGTACAGTTTTGATCTACCAGACCAAAATAATTTGTACTTTATAACATTTTGACCTACCCGACAAAACTAATTTGTAAACTTTATGATTTTGACCTACCCGACAAAGATAATTTGTACACTGTAAAATGTTAACCTACCCGACAAAAATGATTTGTACACTGTAAAATTTTATTCCAGGTTTTTCTGGTCAGCGCCATCCCCATATTATGTTTAGAAGACATCCATTGCGTCAGTTCAGCCTAAAAATGAGATTGTTAACTAAACTTTAGTAAAACAATCAAACATATTTCGAATCGTCATTTTCGACCATCTTCATTATTCATGCTAGTCTGTGATGATCACATCTAAATGACGAGAAGTTAAAAAAAACTTCCAAAAAGTGTTCTCGTCAGGTTAAATCAAAGGCAAAGACCATATTAAAGGTAGTGTTCGCTAAAAATGAAAGGGGTATAGGCCATCGATTATTTTTTCGACGCATTCGTACATTAATGATATTTCATAATATTTTGTATTTTTTATGATCTGATAGTTACTTTTGAAAACATTTATTCCTGTTTCGAGGATTTTTGATAATGATGACGACATTTTCATATTTTCCAGAAATATGTTCGAAAATTCAGCGCCAGCGAAATATTATTTTAAAAAACAAAATCAAAAATATTATGAAATATTAACTATATACGAATGCGTCGAAAAATAATCGATGACTATTGGTTTTAATATCTGAATGATTATTTTACGATCCGAGTGAAATGTTCTCTTAATTTCTATAGACTTTACGTTCTTCGGTATGAGTCGTTTTCAACAAGATAAGGTAAGATTAGTAGCGATCAAAAGCGCTCATTTTTCGCCGTAAGTCTATACCCCTTTCATTTTTCGCGAAAGTTGGCCAAGCTTCGTTATAAATATAAAGATAAAATTTATAAGCCCTTTCATGCACTGGATATTAGTTTCGAGGAACTCATTTTTTGATATTTAATAATCGTCAAAATAAAAAAATCAGACACGATAACGAAAAAATGTTGGAGAAACTTTTTTTTAAACAAAAACAAAGACATTATAATGTTGATCTTTGATTCCTCTGAGTACTGCAGTGGGACTATAAACGTTCCGGGAAAATAAAGGTGTATTTAAAACTGCCACCTTTAAAGTATCGAAAATGATATTGTACGACCTGTAAACTTTAAGGGGAAGTACTCCTAATTATAGAAGTTTTTTATAGAAGATTTTTACTTTATATAAATTGTTTAATTGAACACTTTGTATAATTAAAATCTGGAGTTCAATTAAAAAGAGCGAAAAAAATGGTTCAATTACATAGATTTATAACAATACAGATAGAACACTAAATGTCGTCTTTTCAAGATTTAAGGGTTTTTCGTTCACAATAATCCAGAGGCAGAAGCCCAAAGGAGTTACGCGTATGCCTCGTTGAATCTGCCTCAGAGTTATTGTAAACGAAAATCCCTTCTATCTTATTAAAGACGACAGCTAGTGTTCTATCTGTATTGTTATCAATCTATACTCAATTAGTTTAAATAAATTATATACGAGTTAAATGTAATTAATTGTTTTTAATTGAAAACAGTTTTTCCATTAAGAACTTCATTTAAAACTTTTCTAAATTAAAAAGTGAAGTTTTGTGGCTGAATTGAATTTAAGAATAAAATGTGAATTTGCATGCAAATGTATAAATAATCTCGTGGTTTTGCGTACGTGGAAAGACATAGATATGTAGAGTTAAGAAGAGGGTGATAGTTTTTATGTACATATTTACTATGACGTATTATATTAAGATTGCTAGAAATTATGAAACTAGTTTTATGAAAAAAAACACAGAAATTCTAACAATTGTATCCCCCTCTCTTCTCTTATTATAGTGCATAGAACACACACAGACAAAGTACATAGTACAGCGCAGTACATTGGGAACTTGCCAGAGCTGGGAACTTTAGAATGGTGGATATTAGGATTAATGCATAATCCTCTCTTCTTGCTAATCTCGAGGCTAACATAATCTCGAGATTATGTTTGTCTCGAGATTAAATATTTAGATCAATAAGTTTAATTCTAGGAACGCCAGATTTGTTCGTTTTCTGGAAGGGCATTCACTAAATTTCTCACTTTGCTTTATTAATACATTAGTTAAATTGGTTAAAAAAGAATCTGAAACGTATTATTAAATAATTTTCTTCACCGATTAATTTACAAAATGGCCGACAACAAATTCTTAATTTGTTAGCAATTGCGGATTTCTCTCATGGAATAGAATTTATTTTCAAGGCTGTCATTGGTCAATACAATTTACGAACTATAATCCTGCACTCAGTGGAGAAAACAATGTACAGATATCCAAAGAGAGAAAAAGAGTGAATTAAGGACTAAAATTAAAAGTTTCTACAGTGGATATTCGGATTAAGCAGTCGGGATTAAAGGTTATCCATTCTAAAGTTCCCAGCTCTCACTACATTTGTTGAAGAAAACGTAACGGATCAACTCTACACTTGGTAGTCCAGACTGGACGGTGCGAGTTAATGCATATACAGTATATGTTGTACAGATTCAGATCATTCAACTTTTAAAGTACGTACAAAGTACGCAGCAGGGTTGGCTATTACTTTTCGAACCGTTTTTTTAACGTTTTAAATATGAACTGAGCTGAAGCAAAAATAAACATCTGGCGTAGGTTCGAAATTGCCGTAGGTCGGAAAGTTAGTAGGTCATAAGTTCAGTAGGGGGATGTTGCGTATAGACGATGTATTATTACCGTCATTTTTTGGCGAAATTAAGCATTTTTAAAGGGTTTAAAGCAATTTAAGTGCCTTAAATAAACACAATGCAAACAACATTACAGCAAGAAATTATAGAAATTAATAACAAACAGGAACAAATTTACTGAGCTTAAAATCAACAAGCAAAACATGTTATGCTTAAAGGGACTGTACGCGTAATTTCAAGTGACTCTGAATTTTTTTAAGGGTCATGTTAAATTCACAACAGTACTTTTAAAAGCTTTGTCTGATCAAAAATGAATGAAATTTCCATGTTTAACTTTTTAAAATTCATCATTTCTAGTTCCTGATCAACTAAAGACTTTAAGGATATCGTTGTAAATCTTTGACCGGAAGGTCACTTAAAGGGACAGTAAAGGAAAAATGAAAGGGGGTATAGGCTGAAAGCTAATCACTTTAGCTCTTGATCTCGACCCATGAAAGTCATATCTGATGTTCTAGTCTCGAGAAATTGATATAAAACTGTGTCAAATCTATACGAAAATTAATATATATACAATTTTGTATAAAAGTAGTAGGTTTAAACAGATCATATTCAGCCAATAAGCAACCAATCTGAAAACGATGATATCCCAGAGAAAGCTAATTGTAATTTAGGTTTACTTTTATATTTGTTGTTTCTATTTTCAATAGATTTCATTCATAATATTATTTATACATCCGTATTGCTTGACCAGAAATTCCACCAATGGCAGTGCAGTAAAGTGGTCACGTGATACAGGCGGAGACACGTGACCAGTATACTGCTCTGCCATTGGTGATAGTTCTGGTCACGTGATTTAAGTTTCAGATTTTCAAAATTTTACATATATGAATTTTCGTATAATTTTAACACAGTTTTATATCAGTTTCTCGAGACAGGAACATCAGATAAAACTTTCATGGGTCGCGATCAAGAGCTAAAGTGATTAGCTTTAACCTATACCCCCTTTCATTTTTCCTTTACTGAAAAGATAAAATCGTGTCAAATAACCCCGGCACTTATGGTCTTAAATTGTCTTTTGGCCGGAACAGCTGATATTTTTGGACTTTTCGCCTTGTACTTTATAAATACCAAACTGTGGAAACGGGACCATGGTATTAAAACTTGATTCAAGAATTATAAATGATATCTGCTATAGAAAACATTGAAAAGTGTAAATCATGTTAGAGGATGGCATAAAAAAGGTCTTTGTCACAGACAGGTGTAAAACAGAACAAACATAAAATAGTAAGTGAACACAATACATTGGAAATCCAACGAAAATATTTAATTCAACTTTTTGTCCAAAGGGACTGTAGACGTAATTACAAGTGACATCTTATTAAAAAAACGCTTGCCATATTCCAACGGTATCCTTTAAAATATCCTCAAAAATGGGAAAATTTAAAATTTTATGACTTGCAGATTTGAAAAAACGACAATATCTTCCCCACTGACACTCTTTAAATAAGGAGTGAGTTTAAATCCCATATTTCACTGTACAGTCCCTTTAAGATTTGCAAAAGAAAAAGCTAACTGGTTGGTACTCAATAAACTGAGGTTAAAGTTGAATTAAAAGTTTCCTGGGTTTCCTGAGTTAAATTGACAAAGTTTACCATTACTGAACCCTGCTTATTAAAGTCTTTCAACACATACTTTGTGTAATACTCCATCTAAAGTAATCCTGGGATTTTATTCTAGAAAAAGGGCGATTATCGATCAAATTGGGATAAAAAAGTTTGAGACAAAAAATCGACATTTCAAATATTTTTTTAATATTATATATTAAGTATTTGAGTCAATATCTGAAACTGAATTATTTTAGAAAAAAAGTCAGAAAAGAAAACTCATGAAATGAAATTGAGGAATTGAGTCTTTGTTCCAATTTAGATTTTCTAATCCCTATATATTTGCAACCTAAAGGCGAAAACCTTTGATATCTAATAATTAGATTATTATATTAAACAAAATTCATTGTAGACCATGGTAAAAACTCAATTCCTTTTTCTCTTAAAAGTTAATATTAAACTAGGACTTCATTACGTTGAAACTCCTTCTAAACCCTCTAATTTCGAAAAAGAAAGTACTCTTATTAAAAATTTGATTAAATTTGGTTTCTGGAATTATTATTTATGAAAAATGATGATTATCTTTTTTATAATAAAAAAGGTACTTTGAAATTTACGATGGCTCTTATAAATAAAGATGGATTCCATGTATACTAATAATGTCTTACCTGTTTACTATTAATTTTATAATTAAATTTCTTCAAATAGGTTCCCAAGCATAGTATGTTGGCCTAAAATATTATTATCTTACACAAAAAAAAGGTTTTACGAAATGGATATAATTTGCCGTTTATTATCTGAATTTTGGTAAAATTTCGATCGAATCATATAAAATTCAAAAGGCTGCAATTATAAGATATTTAAAATCTACTTTAACTTCTTTACTTCTAAGAAATCCTTTGAACAAGTATGGAAATTAGATCTAAATTAATTTGCGGAGGAAATAAATCAAAAAAATAGTTGAAATAGATAATAAAATAAATATGCAACTTTGTTTAGCAATGACAAACCTTCATGAAGGCATTTTTGAATGAAGAAATTTTTCTAAGATTCGGGTCAATATTTTTAATATTTTTATATTTTTAATATTTTCAATATTTTAATATTTTTAACAAACTAGATTCGTAATTTCCGCGAATACAAACGCTGTAAATAATTATTATAAATAAAATCAGAGATTTTAAAAGTTTCTATTATTTAGCGTCAAATAGCAAAAATATTGAAATCTTACAAAAAAGTATTTGAATTATATGCAACGAAAAGAGTTCGCGTTTCTTATACTTATAAAACAAAAATTAAACTTATAGAGGAGTTATAAGGTCACAAAGACATCACAGTAATTTTCATATTTCTAGATTTGAATTCTTCACCTCTTTAGCTACTCCTTCCTGCTCCTTCTCCATCAGTTTTAAAACATGAATAAAGTCTTCTGTTACAAAATGATCTTCTTCTAGAAACAAAACTGTTCCTAAATAATAATAATATAATAAATAATTTTTATTTTTTGGAAAGTAATCGTTCTTTGTATTTTGAAAAAGATAAATTCTATTGAATGTTGCTGCGTAAAGCCATGAGTCGCTTTAATCCAGAAACTACAAATAGACACATATCAACAAGGATATCTCCATCAAATAGACACATATCAACAAGGATATCTCCATCACTTTTCTCAGATGTTTTCTGCGCACTATTGTAAATATGATAGTCGTATTCAATCATTTGCTTGAATTTCACATTGAAGTAAGTTTTAAAACAAAACACAGAAATTTTTTTAACGGAAAAGTTGAACTGCCGGCGTTTCCCGTGGAATTAAAATATTCGAAATTTCGAATTTTTTTAGCCTATGTAACCCCCGGGGTTTTAGTTTTAGTTCAACCGTTTGACCAGCTATAGCAAACATATATATAAATTTTTATATCTTCTTAATATATATTTATATTAGCTTTATTATATAGATTATACAGTGAGAACCAGAAAACTCTAGAATAGAATTTTTTTACTCAAGTTTAGTGCAATGAACACGTGACACAGCAATTTTGCAGTGTAAACAGTTTACCAGAACCATTTCATTAATTAAGTTGCTAATGAAACTATTTGCTTAGTAACAACATCAAATAAACATAAAAATGTAGTTTCTGGTTTTCACTGTATATATATATATTCAAAAAAAATTGCAGGCTTTCTCTTTAAATGTATCCAACCTGTGAAATCTGCTGTAATCTTTAAGTTGCCGAATATCTGATTAGATTTCCACCACCAATGATGCTTTGTCTGAATATTACGATTAGAATATTTACTCATGTTTAAAGGTTATACATGGGCAAATAATAAAACATCATCAAAATGATTTGAAAATTGTACATAATATGTAAAATCATGTATTTAAGGATTTTATTTCTTGTTTCAAACTCTGATAATTTTATTTAAAAAGAGAATTAACTAGTCAAGGAAATGAAAGATGTGAAAATTTGCCCCAAGGATGCAACATTACTTTCATGTCTAAGTGATCTCGAAGTTCTTTATGTTTTATTTTGCTCTAGAGTGTGATTTTATTCTACCGCGAGATCTACTTTAGTTTCAGAACATCGTTCTTAAACTAAAAAAGGATTTAATCTTCTGACCTGTGTGAATTTTGCCTCCCTATAATGTCCATACAGATCAGGCCAATCTTTGTTTATACAATTTAGCTTAGCGGCACTAGAACAAAAATAATAATCATGATTATGATAAAAATAATAATCATAATTATGATAAAAACAATAATCATAATTATGATGAAATTAATAATCATAATTATGATAAAAATAATAATCATAATTATGATGAAAATCATAATCATAATTATGATAAAAATAATAATCATAATTATGATGAAAATAATAATTACAATTATGATAAAAATAATAATTATAATTATGATGAAAATAATAATCATAATTATGATGAAAATAATATCACATTTTTGTTGGATTGTTTAAATCCCATAAAACCGCTAAACTGATAAGGCCCAATTAAAAAAATCCAATTCTGTATATCCGATCATAACTCATGAATCCCATTGACTGAATTTCATAACATTTTTATTTGGAAACTCAGTAGAACCATGGAAGCAGTCTTAGCTTGGTTAAACACTTCAGGGTTGACGTTTAAAGCGAAAGTAAGTTTTCCCGGAAAAGCTGGGTTTCCAAGCTGGTTTCAATTAAACATTACGAATTATGATAAAAAAGACGTACTCGTCGGGTTTGATGTTTCTAGGGCAATCTCGACTCGATTCTCCTAAAAAATATTACATTTTACACTGTACATTACTGTTCATGTACATTGTACACTGAGGCCGTTCCTTCCATAAACTACATTGGTAGACAACTTGACGTCTCCTATATTGGTCGTGAAATGTACGGAGAAATAGTGTTTTGTTCAAACGCGTTCTTCCATGAGTTATCAGTGTCCGAGTAAGGCTGGGCGCGTTCCTGGTGGAACGATCGTTCTTTCCTGAGAACGAACGGAACGATCAAGAACGATCCCATTGTTCCGAAAAAAAACGAACGCTTAGAACTCGTTCTTAAAAATATTGGAACGATTAGTAAAAGAACGGAACGGGAATTGCTTAAAAAGAACGGTTAAAATCGTTAACACGTTCTTATTATCAAGAACGCATTCTAAGTTGGGAACGCATTTTCCCCTCCCCCCGCTCTCACAAAATTATATATTATCTAATCTTATTCTTTTACCCTAAATTTAAAATATATAATTTAAAGTATATTTACGGCGAGGAACTTTTTATTTTAAAATCGTATTTTTTTTTTACTTTTTAACCAACTCTTTTCTATAAAACTTATGTCGTGGATGGAATTGTTCTTTACTAAGAACAGAACGAGAGATGGAAACGTTCTTTGACTAAGAAGGGAAAGAGAGGGATGGAACCGTTCTTTAAATAAGAACGCCAAGAACGCAACGGAACGGGAAGACCGTTCTTCTACTCAGAACGGAACGGAACGGGACGGAACGGAACGAGAACGGAACGATTAAAAAAAGGAACGAGAACGGAACGATTTAGCTGAAGGCCCTCGTTCTAGAACGGAACGGAACGATTTCAAAAAAGTTGGAACGTGCACAGCCCTATGTCCGAGTATTATCCGACCACAAACACATACATATGCGACCTCTATTGACGGAGGAAAAGGGAAAGCTTATTACGAATTTGATTTGAACGCGGCAAACTATCTTAAACATAGGAAATTGTACTTTGAATTAATCTCAAATTCATAATGAATCTTAAAAACAAGACACTGCAATCAATTTATGAAATGAAATCAGAAAGTATGATTAGTGCTGCCACCTTTTCTCAAATAAATCATGGCCACAGTACGGCTAATGCACGGCTAATGATCCATATACTGTATGGCGTGAGAAACTCTGTCCGTCCATGAATAACTCACAGGAGACGTGAACTACACGTCCACTATCTATAGAAGGAACGGCCTCTGATCACCTGACATTGTACATTGTACACAATATACTATACACAGAACGCTCTACATAGTATTCATTAATTAAATGTTAAAAATCTTATAAATAAAAAAATTTGATATACATTTTCTAAAATAGTTTAATGATTTCATTACAGCTTTGAATGGTTATTTTGAATCTAATATAAAAGAGTTCTTTTAAAATTGTAATGACATCATTTTAAGTTTTAATGGATATTTTATTTTGCATAAAGAAATTAGGAAACCATGAAGACTTACAACTGACTCTAACCATTCGCCAAAAACTCTAGTTTTCTAATCAATACTTTTTATCCTGATTTTGTAAACAGCTGCTAAATTTAATAGTCTAACTTTGATATATCAAAGGTTTACATCATCAGATTGCAAAGATATAGAAATTGGAATATTAGTGTTCCTACCGGGAAATGTATATGGATGTGTTTACCTGGAAATATATATGCATGTGTTTACCTGGAGATGTATATGAATGTGTTTACCTGGAAATGTATATGGATGTGTTTACCTGGAAATGTATATGGATGTGTTTACCTGGAAATGTATATGAATGTGTTTACCTGGAAATGTATATGGATGTGTTTGAAGTGAGTATGGATAATGAATCTGTAACACCATGGCAAAATCAATTGATCTAAAGAAAATGTATTCTGTCAATTCAAAAACAAAAACAGGAAAAAGGTAGAAAAATATCTAGATAATATTTACAGGCAGACATATCAGTTTTTTTTATTATGCAGGGTGTCCCAATAATCATCACAATTTACAATTGGTAGAATGAGACAAAAAGAGAATGTAAAATTTATGCGACATTACTTGAACAGCTTGCTAAAATATAGTTTTAATCAGATTTTAGTTTAAGAATTTTTTTTTCCGTGTTAATAGGGGATTGGGTTAAGGTGACTTTGGTGGGTTTCAGAGGTTAAAGTTAGGTCAATAAAGCCAACCCCCCCCCCAAAAAAAAAAATCCCTGTTTGACCCACATGTCTTTAAGTGAGACTTATTGCATAAAGTTAACTGTGTTTGTCAGTTCAATTTATAAAATATTAAATCTTAATTTTCCAATAGATTAAAACCAAAATTACAATTGTTTTTAAATCGCCTGATGTAATTCAATAAAAATAGTAAGGTACGAAAAATATGTTTTCAAACCATTACACTGTTTAATAATTGATAAGACTTCAGTTTCAATCAAAACTTTTATTAAATTTGATTGTAATCACATTTAAACTTTCATTAACATATTACGGATCCGCATCAAAATCCAATTCAAAACTTATAATATGACATCAATGGATAATTGCTTTTAAATCGAATTCTTACGTTCATTTATCGCAAACACTCACTTTAATCTATTAGGTTTCATCAAATGAATCATCGGAGCAAATCCCGTGATATTTATTAAACAATGATAAATTTTGATATTAATTTAGCTATTTCAAGAATTTTAATATTTCTAAATTTTCCCAAAATATATGTCTTGACTATCTATTTTTAACATGAAAATATATTTAGTATTTCAAATTTGAAAATATGACTCACTACCGGGTTAACCAGAACATGCCCTTATATAAAAGTTTTGATAATGTGCACAATGTCTTATCTCAATAATTTAGTGTTGCCATAATGAATGGTCAATCTGACATCTATATATATAGTCTGCTTGTCTGTCTGTCTGTTTGTTGGTCTGTATCCAATAAACGTCAAAACGGCTGAACCGAACGGGCCCACATTTTTTGTGGGACCTCACATGAACCCAGGGAAAGATTTATGGATGCTTAAAGTTACAAAAATATGTGTACAAAAGTTTTTGATTTTTGTAAAATTTTGAAAATGCGCGATAAAATATTACTAAATCCGCTAATTTTTTTTTATATTGTACAAAGAGAAGATGCTCCCAGATAGACCATAATTAAAAGTTGAAGTAGAAGATGGGCGCGAAGCACTTCAAAAACTTAGTTTATTTTAATTACACAAATAAAAAAAATTTCTTCCTAAATCTTACCTGATTAACTTATTTATGTCTTCGTTCCAAACATCATGACTGACAAATTTCAATATTGTGAAAAAGGTAAAAAGTCAGTTTTAAAAAACAGCTGAACCTTTCGGTTCTAACATTTTGCAGGACATATAGCTCAGTCCCAAAAATCCTGTTGTGGCTTTTGAAATAGGGTTTTTATTCATTCGCAATATACGCAATCAAAGAGAATAGAATATATATTGGAGAGGAATTTATTAGAAAAAAGTGTAAAACGGCCATTTTGTTGTACTGTTTCCATACTGCGCTATTTTAACCTGTTGGGCCCTGGAACATAATTTTATAGAAAATCTAAAATTAATATTAAAAGAAAACCAAATTATGAAATAGGCTGGCTTCATAATTGATGCAATGATCATTTTACATAGACTCTATACCTTTCACTGTACAAACGATGTTTTTCCGTTATAACTATAAATCAAATGATGTTTTTTATTCACCTAATTCATTTTTTAAAGTTTATTTAACAGCTTTTAAAAATTTGAAATTGAAAAGGATATTCTAGGGAACATACTGTATTAATGTACAACATTTACATGATTTGTACACTTTGAACTCCCTTTCAGGCTGAAAGGGACTGAAAAAAATCATACCGAAGGATTCTCTAAATTCTCCTATAATGTAACTTTGTACACAATATACGCAATATACGCAAAAATAGGGCAGAACTTTATCTCCTAGCATGCCACAACAACTAATCGTATTGTATGGACAACAAATTATTTTCTAGTTTCTCTGTTGTTAAGGATATTAGAAGAATAAAACAAATTTTCCGCATCATTTGCCCTGAAATTTACTGCATGTATACTGTACAACAATAGTTGTGCATTCTATTGTACAACAATAGTTGTGCATTCTCTCAAAGCCTGTTTTTGATAGTTAACAATTAAGCATATTTTTTAATGTTATTAAAGGCAATGTTTAAAATTTGGTCCAATTTATCGCATGGAGCCCCTACTTTTAAACTGTCATAAATCAAGAATTAAACACAGAAAGCAGGGAAATGTGGAAAAATCTGTTTTTTTTGTCGTAATTTGTATGAACTATGAACATACATATACAAAGAAAAGAATTCTCGGAAATAACTTTTATATTATCTATTACCTCGTGCTAGTTTATGGAAATCTTTTCTTTAATTTTTTTCACGTTTAGAGAAAATATTGAAAAAATGCCTGAATATTAATAAAGTTCTGTCAATAGATCTCGCCTCGGACAGAGAAATGATCAGGTGTCTGCAAAATTTATTTATTAATCATATTTCAAAAAAAGACAAATAATTGAAAAGCGCCAATTGAACTGAAATACAGAAGTTTGCAGGAAAAGTAAAAATTGCTTACCACAAATTTTATTTTCTAATCCTTATAAGTTTGCATCCTGATATTGCAGATTTTTTAAAACTAAGAATTCAAATTGAATAAAAGTTTGAAATATTAAAGTTTTACGGAAAAAGGTTGTAAAGATCTAACAGTTTATATCAATTAGTTTTCAATTTTCATATCGAATGAATAAAAAACTTCAGAATAAAAAGTTGAACAAAAAACTTACCTGAGATAATTAAGTCTGTGATGAACTTGAATTGCGATGACTAAAGTAGAGTTAGTAACAGGTCCGAACATATCAAGATTGTAAACAGTCTAGAATAAACACATCGATGTTGTAAACCGTCTAGAATATACATATCGATGTTATTATGTTATTATATTCTAGACAATAATGATGCTGTAAACCGTATAGAATACACATATATATGTTGTAAACAGTTTATGATATACATATTGATGGTATAAACAGTCCAGAATATACATATTGACGTTGTAAAACATCTAGAATATACATATAGATGTTGAAAACCGTCTAGAATATACATATAGATGTTGTAAACCGTTTATAATATACATATTGATTTTATAAACAGTCTAGAATATACATGTCGATGTTGTAAATCGTCTAGAATATACATATAGATGTTGTAAACCGTCTAGAATATACATATAGATGTTGTTAACCGTCTAGAATATACATATAGATGTTGTTAACCGTCTAGAATATACATATAGATGTTGTTAACCGTCTAGAATATACATATAGATGTTGTAAACCGTTTATAATATACATATTGATGTTATAAACAGTCTAGAATATACATATTGACGTTGTAAATCATCTAGAATATACATATAGATGTTGTTAACCGTCTAGAATATACAAATTAAGATTGTAAACCGTCTAGAATATACATATTGATGTTGTAAACCGTTTATAATATACATATTAATGTTATAAACAGTCTAGAATATACATGTCAATGTTGTTAACCGTCTAGAATATACAAATTAAGATTGTAAACAGTCTAGAATAAACATATAGATGTTGTAAACCGTCTAGAATATACATATTAAGATTTTACACAATCTCGAATAAACATATCGATGTTGTAAAAAGTCTAGAATACATTTGTCGATGTTGTTAACAGTCTAGAATAAACATATAGATGTTGTTAACAATCTAGAATAAACATATCGATGAAATTAACAGCCTAGAATAAACATATTGATGTTGTTAACAGTCTAGAACAAAACATATTGATGTTGTTAACAATCTAGAATAAACATATCGATGAAGTTAACAGTCTAGAATAAACATATTGATGTTGTTAACAATCTAGAATAACAAAACATATTGATGTTGTTAACAATCTAGAATAAACATATCGATGAAGTTAACAGTCTAGAATAAACATATTGATGTTGTTAACAATCTAGAATAAACATATCGATGAAGTTAACAGTCTAGAATAAACATTTTAATGTTGTAAACAGTCTAGAATGAACATATTGACGTTGTTAACAGTCCAGAGTAAACATATCGACGTTGTTAACAGTCTATAATATACATATCGATGTTGTAAACAGAAAAAATATATATATGTGAAAGATTTAAAAATTAAATGTTTAAAATAAGAATATTTATTTGGGGTTGGAAAGCAAACAAACCTTACATAGATGTTGAAATGTAAAATAAATTTTTTGAATTTATACGTATAGAATATAGATCAAAGTGACCTTTATGCGAAGTTACTCGTACAACTTTAAACATTTTAACTCCTCAAGTTTTCATTTTAGTTCAAGATAAAGCAAACTAACACATTTGCAAAGACCGATTAAAAAAATTATTTAATGAATACCTCGAGAAAAGATTTGTTTAAAACTACGCAAGATTTAATTATTTATTCATTTTTTATTTCACTAACCTGTTGTTTATTTGCTTTTTCAATTTGTAGAAGAATATTGTTTATCTGCTCTGATTCAACCTCTGATCCAGCAGTAATACTCTCCCTTATTATTATTATTATTATTATTATTATTATTATTATTATTATTATTATTATTATTATTATTATTATTATTATTATTATTATTATTATCCATGAACTCTCTCTCCCGACAAACTTTCTAAAGGTTTTCTTTCTCCAGTTTGTTCCTCTTCTTCTCCCCCTTCCTCCTCCCCTTTACCTCCATTCTTCCCCCTCCTTCTCTCCTCCGCCTCCTCCTCCTCGTTTACCTTCTTGTCCTCGGCGTCCTGGCCGTACACCTCCTCCTGGGGTACCCGCCCCAACCTAAAAAAATCAACTTATATTGTCGTCTTGGTTTCTAAAATATATATTTCAACCTTTACACTTTGTACAATGTACAATGTGAAACATACGATGGTAGGCGATTGTATCAATACAGTGAAAAGACGGATTTCGATTTCAGTTTCTATTTATTCAAGCCGTATCAAACCTAGAGAAAAAGAGAAGCTGCCAATTTAAAAAGCTTCTCTTTGATAATTTGTAAAATTGTAATTCAAAAATGCTTGTTAACAATCAAAACTTTAATAAAACAGTCGTCTTCGTTGTATTGTTATAATCGCCTACCACTGTATGCAAATCTTTTTGCAGATATTTTCTTCAAGTAACCCTCCATCGGCAGAGTGGCATGTTTGATTTACAGCGGTACCCAAGAATGAATTAAAAATCCATGCTTATTTGAAAACGGTTGATTTTGATTTGATTTTTTTTTATGCAGAAGTCACTTGCGCATTTCTTTTTTTCAGTAGAGAAATTGTCAGAATTGAACACGGAGAATTGCAGTAAATATTACAGAAAAAGAATTCTTATATAACTTCTTGATAATCGTTTCCTTGTTAAACTTACTTCTATCTTAAAAAAGAACTTCATATTTTTTTTTTGAAATTTACAACAATTGCGCAGTTTTTTGCTTTTCTGTTTTGATATTTTGTTTGAGTCATTTAAACTTGACGCCGGATTTTTTGTTTGAGTCATTTAAACTTGACGCCGGATATTTTGTTTGAGTCATTTAAACTTGACGCCGGATATTTTGTTTGAATGATTACAACTTGACGCCGGATATTTTGTTTGAATGATTACAACTTGACGCCGGATATTTTGTTTGAATGATTACAACTTGACGCCGGATATTTTGTTTGAATGATTACAACTTGACGCCGGATATTTTGTTTGAATGATTACAACTTGACGCCGGATGAACTGAATAGGTTTCGTGGGACCTCACATAACACACATTTGGGCTTGAAAGTGTCTGTCAAAACTTTTAAAATTATCAAAATTGAACTGAATTGTTTTATTATATTTACAGGAAAATCTACGAGAATCTATGGATTTGCTGACACTGCCATTTTTTCTTATTATTACAAAACGTTGGCAAAAATATTATATTTTAAGACATATATCAGTAACAGTTACAACAGGAACACTTATCCCCTATTAATACTGGGTTCTACTGGACTAGAATAAATGGCGCGAAGCCCTCCTCCTATCCATATAAAAATTTAAGGCTTATCCATATGCATCAAAAAAGTAAAAAAATCTAAACCGTTTTGGATGCTTAAAATTGAAAAAAATTATATGGATCTAATCTAATTTTTTTTCATAATTCAAAATTTTTTTATCAAAAATTTGATTTCTTAAAAATTCCACGGGCAACGCCAATTGCAGTTCAGCTAGTAATATATTTAACCTGAGATCATCCAGATATTTGCTTCCTCCCTCCCCCTTCCCTTCTCTAACAACATCCTATAAGAATAATATTAAAGGTATTGTATAGACCGTTATTTCAAGGAACCCTCCAGTTATTAAGTCGCACATTCGATTTACAACGATATCTGATAAACCTTTGTATTTATCAAGTGGATTTAACAGTTCTGTCAATATTCCAGAAAGCTGTGACTTTTGATCACAATTTTGCTAATAAAAATAATTTTTTAGCCTTTTTCATTAAATAATTTTTTGCTGGCAAATGCATTTTGAATGAAAAGTCTAAAACAAACAAAACCGTAAGTTTAAAGATTGTTTGATTTTAGACCAAAGCGCGTAAGATTTCAAATAGAAGAAACCGATCTCTGGTTAGTCGAGGGTGATATACAAGTATATATACATACAATATATACAAGTGAAGGTGTATATATACAAGTATATATATTTGTGGGACATCTAGTATAATATATACATACAATATATGCAAGTATAAATGTATATATACAAATATATATATACCATAAATACAAGTATAAATGATGAGTTATTCCTCTTTTTTTTCTTTTGTAAAATTTATTTGCACATTTAAGCAGCGTGTTCTATTACCATACAGCTCTAAGATAATTCGGAAAAGAAAGAGAAAAAAGATCAATTTTACAACAAAAGCAACTAATGCAAAATTTGTGAGTTCCTAATTACCGTTAAAATGTTAATTCAGAAATTAAATATATGTATTATTTTTAAATACCAAGAAGGTTTGAAGATTTACTTGGAACTGTTGTAAACCATGGAACCTGTTTTTACTCCTTTTTTATTTAACCAGCTTTCAAAGATCAAACATAATCTTTCTATCAACTCTAAACACTACGTTGTGTAAAAGGTAAACTTTATGCGAAATTACTTGTACGACTTTGTGACCTCTATCCAAGGCACAACGATACTTTTAAGTTGACCCAGTCTTCAAAATTGTTGCAACTTTTCTAAGCAGTCTGAATCTATGTAAATTGAATATAGTTCCCTAAAGCTTTAAAATCAGACCATTAATGGATTTTAATCAATATTCAAATTTTTTTATTTTGAATGTTTAAGTCTGCAATAGAAACACATCTTTAATGGGTACCAAGCTGTATATTTTGTTTGGATACTTTCCAAATAACAAATAGCACATTTGTCATTCAAGTAAGTAGTAAGTAATTATTTATTTATGAAAAATAACAAAAACATACAAAATTATGTGTTTCAGGGGAAATTATTTTAAAACCTCCAAAAATAGAGGTTTTGGGAATATTTCCCCCAATTCTAAAAACAAATAAAAAATAAATTTAAAGTAAAGAAAAGGAAAGGAAAAGTAAAGTTACATATTAATTGTTTACATTATATTTAATATAAGATGGTGCTGGATTCTTAGTATTTTTTGACGATAAATAAAAATGATAGATTTATCTGTGATGTTAAAAATAAATAAAAAAGCTTTCTGGGTTGTGAAAAAATATAGGTTTTTCGAAAAACGGGCATTTTAAGCATCTTTTTCATTCGCGTCGATTTTTGACATCCTTTATGTTTAATTATATCTTTTACTCTTTTCTTTGTAAAATCGACTTTACTTTCTTCGATTCTTTTGCAACATGTGTTAGAATCGTTTCTGTTTCTAAAATTTGCGTTTTTGATATTGTTTGATAAAATGAAATCTTTTTTAAATGTTGGGGGTAATGAGTCTCCTTTAAATTGAAAATAAAAATTTTATAACATTAAAATTCCTAATTTTCTGAAGTCCCCCTTTGTATGTTTGAAGCTCAAAAGCTTCCGCTGTGTGACTTATTCTAGGTAACCCCATCAATAGACGAATAGCTTTCTTCACATTTATTCTATCTTATCAATATTTTTGTTTGAATTTAGCATTTGAAATGTTGAACTAAATTCTAAATGAGAGTGAAAAAAAGCTTTTTCATGGTGTCAAAGCTTAAGAAGTTTTTATTTTTTTCATAGCATAAAGTGAAAAAGTTAATTGCGTGTATATAAAATTAACTTATAAAGTTCAATTTAGTATCCGGCCATATTCCCAAGAATCTCACTGAATCTGTTTCTTTTATGCGTTCAATTTTTCGTGTATTTTCTCCTAGTTTAAAGAAGTCGTTTTGTGCATTTAGAGAATTTGAAAATAAAATTGCATTAGTTTTCTCAAAGTTAATAGTAAGTTTATTAGACATGTACCAACATATTGTGTCTGCAAGAGTATTCAAGTTTTTACATTTTGATGCCACATTTGTGTATTCGGCAAAGGCTACACTGAAAAGTTTGTTAGATTGGAAGAAGTCATTTACATAGATAATAAACAATAAACAGCTTAGACTTGATTTTTGAACGATAAAATTAAGGTTTTTTGGAGCAGCAAATTGTTTTATTTTAAGAATTTTGCGTTTTCCAGAAATAAATAGAAATATCTAAGCGAGATATTATGCAAGACATGAATAAAAAAACGCACATTTTTAAATTCTTATTTTTTGATTTGACCATTTTAAAGGGACAGCAAGTGTAGTTTCATGAGGGACCCTTCATGTAAAGATGTCAATTTTATATTTTAAAGAGACAGCAAGGGTAGTTTCATGAGGGACCCTTCATATAAAGATGTCAATTTTATATTTTAAAGAGACAGCAAGGGTAGTTTCATGAGGGACCCTTCATGTAAAGATTTCAATTTTATATTTTAAAGAGACAGCAAGGGTAGTTTCATGAGGGACCCTTCATGTAAAGATTTCAATTTTATATTTTNTGGATCCGGATCCGTGGATCCGCATTTTTTTGCGGATCCGGATCCGGATCCAGAGAGCCAAAATAATGCGGATCCAGCGGATCCGGATCCGGATCCTAAGCACTGATATCCATGTTTAAAACTTAGGCAACTAATCAATTGTGGTTTCTCCACAGTAGTAACTAGCTTATTTCTACTGCAGGAACATTATGGATAATCAAACAGTTTTCAGGTAAAAACGATGTTATTTTCCACATTTTAGATCAGATAAAGCTTTTAAGGGTACCGTTGTCAATCTGACACGTCCCTTTTTTAACAGAGGATCACTTTAAATAACGCGTATAGTCCCTTTCAGGTAAACTTGTATTACACATTTTCTACGTTTTTTTTATAATAAATATTTGTTGTTAAATGAGAAGGTCTATTTCTTCACTAAATAAACCATGTAATTACTAGTTAGTAATGTCAACCTTTAATGCGTACACTAATAATACACGATACTGTTTACAGTCCCTACTCCCTGTGCTTCCAAACTACTCCCTGTGCTTCCTAACTACTCCCTGTGCGTCCTCCCTGTGCGTCCTAACTACTCCCTGTGCGTCCTAACTACTCCCTGTGTGTCCTAACTACTCCCTGTGCTTCCTAACTACTCCATGTGCTTCCTAACTACTCCCTGTGCTTCCTAACTACTCCATGTGCTTCTTAACTACTCCCTGTGCTTCCTAACTACTCCCAGTGCGTCCTAACTACACCCAGTGCGTCCTAACTACTCCCTGTGCGTCCTAACTACTCCCTGTGCGTCCTAACTACTCCCTGTGCGTCCTAACTACTCCCTGTGCGTCCTAACTACTCCTTGTGCGCCCTAACTACTCCCTGTGCGTCCTAACTACTCCCTGTGCGTCCTAACAACTCCCTGTGCGTCCTAACTAAAGCATGATAAAAGAAGTAAGACCGGAACTTTTGTTTGGATATTGTAAATCGTTAACGCTTGATATAGAAATCCAATCCAGGCACTTTTAAATTTAAGAATTCCTCAATTAAAGTTGTCCCTGGGGCTGTATATTGAATATAAACCTTGATATTTCAAGCTTTAACTAGCAGAATTCAAATTTAAAAATTTTTTTTTTCCATATAAATAAATCATTATTATAAAAATAAACTAAATGAAATTAATAAATATTAGATCCTTTTGTTTAAAATGGACTGTAACGGAAAACTGAAATGGGGTATAGGCTGAACCTGAGAATCTCAGGCGTTAAACGATACATATAAGACATCTATCTGATGTTCCTGTCTCGAGAAATTGAGATAAAACTGTGTAAAAACTATACCAAAACGTATATATATAAGATTTTGTATAGGATTCTTAGTATTAAACAAATCATATTCAACAAATACGCAACTAACTTGAAAATGACTATATCCTTTAAAGAAAACAATTTGCAAGAGCTAATGTAAAAAAAAATCTACATCAAAGTGTGTGTGTCTTACATCGCCAATAAGAATTCGCGACGCTTCTCACCAAAACAAAACAAAATACTAACCTTTGAAACATGTGTTTGCAAATATAGGAAGAAGACCAGAAATATTACTAAACTGTATTTTACGCATGAAAACTTTCTTCTGCAGAAAAATTATATCTCAATATTAACAAAAATGCAAATTATAAAAAATTAGAAATAAGAATTTCTAAAACAGGAAAATAGATCAAAGTTTGTATTGTTTAACGCTTTCTGTACACCAAATGAGTGAGGCCCTATATTAGCCAATATAAAGTTCCTTCAAAACATTTGTTGTGTCCTCCATTGTATAAAAATAAGTTAAAATTTGATGTTTTTTTCTGATTCCTGATCATATCATCGGTTTCCAGACCCTATACACGGATTCATTCATTGTTTAGGCTTTCACAAACATTTCATTCTGAAATATTAAAATCATTAAATCTATTTTTAAATTGACATGGTTCCAAATCAATATTTGCGGCAAATCGGTCACGAGGATTCCTGTATTTTGATCGTGCATTCATAAAAACAAACACCCAAGTCCCAAAGAGACAAACTGAGATTACTTTTGGATATATATAGATAACGGTCAGATACTGAAAATATTGAAAATTGACATTTTTTTGTAAACAAAACAAAACTATATATGTCAGTTGAAAAACTTCATACCACCACTTTTTTAATCCTTTTCATATTTTTCATTGTTCTTTTTTTCTTGACTTTTTCAATGATTAAAGTATTGTATTTGTATTGATTTATTGTTAAAAATGAATCTCTCAGTTAATAATAAATAGGTTTGGGAGAATGAATTATTCATGAACTACACTTCTTTGAACGTGTACGTTCGTGTCAACTTTTTGAATATAAATACAACAAATTCAAATCCATTCAAATATCATTTATCGAGGGAAAGCTTAGATCAAATCTTAAAGGAGTTGAATCTTTGCCATACACTCTGATTTTCTAATCACTATATCTGTCCAACCTGATGACAAAACCTTAGACATGTCAATCTTAGATTATTTGAACTAACAGAATTTATAGTTTGAAATATATAAGATCTACGACATTGGATGGCAAAGATATTAGGATTATAACATCAGAGTTTGTGGCAAAAACTCAATTCCTTTATGATAATTGAAGCGGGGGTTGACGGAGGGGGGTTACGGATTGAATTTGAAACTTTATTCGAAAGCTGTTTTGATTCTGGTTGAACTTGAATAAATATTTTATTTATATGTAAATATATAAATATCAGTTGAAACGCAACGATCTTCTTATANTACTGATATTTCACTGGTAAAACTAATCAATTTTAGTCAATTTTAATAAATAAGAGATTTCAGAGTTTAACTATTTCCATTTATAATTTCCCATCTCAGATTACACGAAACAATAACAGTGGCGTAATAAAAATAATGCTAATAATAAACGGCCATGTTCTGTCTAATGCTTGAAAGGGTTTCTGTTTACACTATATTATTGTCAATACTATTTGTAAATAAACAATAAATATATAGATAGATAACATAAATTATATTCTAAAGAAAACAGATGGAAAGGTATTCCAACTTTAAATATTTTATACAAAGTTTTATCATTCATGCTCACTTTATGGTGAATTTCATTACAGCAATACTATTCAGTAATTACATGGTATAAAGTTTTACTTGAAATAAAAATAAGATAATATTTTTTTTACTCTACTTTCCCAAAAAGCTTTTCAAAACTATAAATAACTTTATATCAAGACACACATTTCATAAAATAACCTTTAACGCTATTATTTTGGCACAAAGTATTATAAAGTTTTGTTCTTAAAATTTTTCTGTATCTCAAAAGTTCTTGCCTAATGAGAATAAACTATTAAAATGCTGGAATATTCTGGATAAAAAGAACTTTTATGTACAAAATCTGTATAGCACTGCAAACCAAAATACCAGTTATATATATAAGTTCTTGTGCCACGATTTATATTTTCAATGATTAAAAATGTCGGTTAACTTTGAAGATTAATTTATTTATTTCTCCCCCCCCCCTTCTGGTCCTGGAATACTGCAACAGTAACTGGTTACTTACAGCTTTAGGTCTACTGTACCAGGCATTAGGGTTCCCATGCCTTACGCAATATCCATATCTATCTATCTTTTTTATTCTCCATATCAAAAACATTTATATAAACGTACAACCACTCATTTTCTGTCCTTCTCTAAGCCATGAAGCTTAAACTTTGTCGTTAAAACTTTTTAATAGTTTTCATCTTCGAATAGTAATTTAACAAAAACCTCTTAAAATATTAGAAGAGTTATAAATCATGGTACTTTAAATAAACTACTTCTAAGAGAAAAAAGTTTATAATTTTTCCATATTTTTAAAATCTTTAGAGATTTAAATTATGGTACTTTAAATAAACTACTTCTATGAGAAAAAAGTTTGTAATTTTTCCATATTTTTTCGACAAAAACTCTAAAAATGTATATTTGATGAATATTTTCAACTGGAAGAATGTAACAAACGAATCTACAGTTCACTTTTTTGTTGCTTTCTGTGAATAGTACTATCATATGATGTTTAATATTGGAGTGCCTTAATGCGACTGAGATGTTAACTATAGGAATTTCTTGATTCGACTGAGCAAACAGAAAAAGAGATGTTAACTACTCGAGTGTCTTCCTCCAACTGAGCGCTGAGCCAGGAGCTGTCTAAATATTCAAAACAAAACTAGAAACTTGTTCCATGAAGCACTTTCAAGCGCTGAGCTGGAAACTTATGAGAAAACCACTAAATGCAACCTGTTTTTTTATGGTCAAAATTTGAATCTGAAAAGGATTTTTTTTCTTCACTCAATTAAAAACCTGGTTTCATAAACTCTGTTGAAAAACAATACTTTTCATGCCCCGGAATTAATTCTGAACGGAAATTCAAACCCGTATTACATGATTCTTTAGGATCATATAAAATGTTGATTTTTTGAGGATTATTTTTTGGTTTATATATAAACACAACCATGTAATAAATAAAAATATATTTCCCCCTTTTTAAGACAGAAAATGCATTTGATATGTTTTTTTTTACTGGTGAAGTAAGCTTAATTAAACAGTTAATTAGAAAGATTCATGATTATAAACTTAATTAATTTCCAACTATATCTCTCTAATGTCTTTGTAATTTAACCAAGTAATCATTTTTTTTGAGCTTTTCTCATTCTTAATAGTGCCCATACAGTGCCATATAATCTTTGAAAGCAAAGAGAAGCAAGAAAATAGCCATAATTTTTACAATTTTTTTGAGGAATGTTTTCAATTTTACATTTTTAACCAATTTTCAAGATTAATAATTGTTAATAATGAGTACTACTTCTATTGTTGATTATGATCTCAAAGGAATTTATTCTTTCTCACACCAAAGTTTCTAATCCCTTATCTTTACAGCTAAATGGTGTAAATCATTGATAAATCAAACTTGATTATAATTTATAGTAAACTGCTGGACAAAATGAGCTAAATTTTTTATAGGGAACCCTGTGGGTAACATGGGCTAAAAAGTATTATTTTTTTAATAATATTTATTTCACAATTCTATTTTTTTTCACGGGCAACTTGTTATTCATAAATCATAATTCATACTTTTTAATATTAATAATTTTAAATCATAGTTATCCAAGGTCTGGGTTGCAAAAACATTGAATTTACACAATCTTAGTCGATTTAATCAAAGATTTTTCGTGATATAAAAGATTGTGTGCTCAGAAAATAAAAAGATTGTGTGCTCAGAAAAGAAAGATTGTGTGCTCAGAAAAGAAAGGTTGTGTGCTCAGAAAATAAAAAAGTTTCCTTCTCCTTCCTAGGAGTACTGACATATACTGCATCGAGACAGGGAATTTAAAGATATTTTATAAATATGTGATCATCAAGGTATGAAATAATACAATGTTAATTGTCTAACTTACTGAACTGAAGCTCAGAAAATATGTCAAAGATATGTTTTTGTATCTTTGCGCTCTCAACTGAATAGAAGAGAAATAAAACTCTCCCTCGGTATTAATTAATTCAGTCCATTTGAGCCTGAAACAGGTGTTCTAAGTGTATACAATTCATGTAAAGTTAACAAACGCAGTACATCACAATAATACAGTATGATCCCTGAACATATTCATTACATATTTCTTCTTTTTATAAAGTTTATGCTGAAATGAACTCGGGAATGCACGGCAGGTTGTCAAAGAATTGATTTGGAGAAAATGAAATAATTTTCGGGAACAAAAATCTGTAAAAAGATGTTCCAGGGCCTAACAGGTTTTAATAGCACAAATGTGTGCAGCAGTCTTTACTTATTAATTCTCTTTGGCTGTTACTCATGACTTTCCTTAACCTTACTTTTAAGTCGTGAGGTAAGACATAAGAAAGTGTGAATCCAATTTTTGTCAAAAACGACGAAAATTAATTATTAAACAGATTTTCGACGGAACACCCCCATCTGAGCTTTTGGTGCGTTCTACAGTGATATGCATTATGCAACGCTTTGACAGAACATTCAGTAGTGTTTAGTAGAGGGGGGTAATTTAATTGACCCCATTTACAGAATTATTTTACTATAAACAAACATTTGCACTCTTAATCTTACTCTTTAACATTGGAAGGTTTCGTCGTTCTTTGCTAAAAAAAAATCTTTCAATTGTCTACGTTGCCTCTGCTGCATATATATCCGTTAAGTCCCTTCTAAAGATAGTCTGTCACTTGTTATTCCCTTTAAATATAATATAATTATTTTACACTAAAGACATTTTTCTAATCCCTATATTTTTCCCATCTGATGGTGTGATATTTCAAACCTAGACTAGTTGATAAATTTTAATTCATAGTTTGAAATATTTATGGTCTATATAGATATTTGGTTGCAAAGATATGTGGATTAGAAAATCAGAGTTCGTGGCAATTTTGATTTAATTTATTGCACAATACACTTTTTAAAATTATGAATGATGGGTTACATTGAGCCGACATCCTAAATAAAGCAATGAATGAAATTTATCCTGAAAGCGGATGTATGGTTGAGTTTTCATGTTTTTAGATCAGAGTAAAACTACTTTTTCTGTTCGCATATTCTTATTCTTTTGAATTGTGGTTTTGTAGCTCAAATATTTTGCTTCTATATTTAAAAGTGTAGCAAATGTTAAAAATACTTGGGTTTATTTAAAAAAATTAGTTTTAGGGGTTTTATCTTTATCTATCTATCTATATAATATATCTATCTATGTACCTATCTATATAACGTGCCTTTTTACCCAGTTCAAAAGTTTAATATTTTAAATGGGCTTTAAAACTATGTCTCTTAAAATCATAATGTGTATTTTTTAGTCGTAATATTCCAAATTCCTTAGAAATATATTTTTTTTCTTCTTTATCATCTTATTTAAAATCTAGAACCATATAAAAGAGTAGGAATAAAAATTAAAAAATATATATTAACTACAGCAAAAGTGCATTCCTCAAAAATTAAAGATTACAGTTAGATAAAATTTATTTATATTAGACTCACAATCTTAGTTTTTAGCTTTTGCTCCGAAATTCACCCTTTTAATATGTTCTTAAAATTTTGAGGATTTTTTTGATTTTTATAGCGATCTTGATGTGCGAAAAATTAAGATTTGATTTCGAAATCATTACGAATAAATAATTTACATTTTTAAATTCAATAATTTATTATCTTTTATTTATTTCTATTTGTTGTAGTAAAAACTAGGCTATAACGTCAACTAACTTTATCTCAATGAAACATGAAACACTTTGTTTGGAGGATGGGGGGGGGGGGTTCATTTCCTTGTCTATATTTTTTAAAGAAATGTTAATTATGCAAATTAATCAAAACTGAATTTTCAGATTTGTTTTGAATAAAAATGTTAAAGGTAAAAGTTGAATCTTTTTGTTATTTTTAAGTATTAAATACGATATATTTAGTGTATACTACACAGTAATTTATCTATATATTGATACAACTAACAAATTATAAGTGGCAAAATGTGTATTAATAGATATTGTTCCATTGTTTTTATAACACTCTAATCTATATTCTTACAATAATTTCAGTTTTAACAAAATCTATGTTTCTACATTCTACACTATGTATGGCCTGTACATAGACATGTTAACAATTATTTATAAAGTTTAGAATATTCCCTCACTCCCTACCCTCTCCTCCCAACTCACCTCCATCACTCAGGCACTCCTACCCGCTCCAACCCTCTCAGCTGACTGAATGATGGCATGGCGGTGAGTGGGTCNTAGTTCTTCCCTCAATAAACATCCTGGGGTTCCAGGGATATTATAATTTTGAGTAAACATCGTTATACGCAGAAAACATTGCGTAGAAAGTGGCCGGGTATAGAGTACATTTGTGATAAGAAAGTCTTAAGGAATTATGAAAATAAGTTTGGTGGATTTTGTTAAATATGATATTTTTGTATACTATAGATCAGTTTATGCGGGTTATTATCCTTCTATACAATCTACAATAGCTATTACTATAACAATAGAAGGCATTCGCACAAATAAGGAAAAGGGAGTGAATCTTGACCCCCCTTTTCTCAAACATCCTTGTTACGCCAATATATTATACTAATGAATACTGAAGCCATACAATAAATAAAATTAACTTATTAACATTATTTTAACAACAATGAAAATTCATTTTAGCCCAAATATTTCATTTATAATTCAGGCAGACACCAAAAAAACAAAACAATTTTACACAAATGACAACCAGGAGCGACTGGGGGGCACCGAGTGCATGTTCACCACCATACGTGTGACTTCCCGGGGCATTGCCCGTCCAGTGTACCCAATTTGCGATGGACCCAGCGCGTTTTATGCAACAAATTAAGATGTCAGGGACATATCTTAAACGAAAAGATTAAGTTAGTTGTGTAACTAATTCACACCAATACTTTCCCAGCAAACATACTTCTGTAGCCCTGGAGATGTCGACGATTTTTTAATGGCTTCATATACTTGTTTCTAGATTGAATCTTAGAGTAGCAATTTGAAAAATTCGAATAAAATGTATTGTCAAGATAAATTCTAAATTTGGAGAATTTTTTGTGTTTTACAATATCTTAGATAAACTATTTTTACCACCATGTTTTAGTGCTAAAATTTAACTTTTATACTTACTTGCAAGTTGAAATTAGTTTTTTCCTAAAGTTAATTTTGCAATTTTAGAATACAATCATAATTCCACTTGATTTTGTTTTTAAAGGGACTATACACGGAACTTCATCCTACTTCTAGAGTGGCATTTCCGATTCATAACGCAGTACCCTGCAAGGCTTTGCGAGATCATCACTAAATCATTAATTGCAGGGATGAATATCTATGTTTTAACCTTGAAAATTGAATTACAACTATAGATTTGGCTTGCAGATTTTTGCTACTTAAACAATAGAAGAAAAGGTTAGAATTCAGCATTTTCTAGATAAAAGACGACATTATCTTCCACCATTATTGAGTAGACAGATTTTTAGAGTTGTGATTCGGACATACACCTCTGGTACTTGAAATTACAAGGACAGTTTAGATAAATAAAATTACAGAGTATATTGCTGTTATCTATTTGTAAACAGTAAACATACTTATCTTTAATATTGTTTTATATGCATCAATCTTAATAAAATTAGGCTTATGTGGCGCTTCGTGCCCCACTTTCTTGCTAAAATCTTTGTACTTTTTGCAATGTGAACAAACAGTAAAAACGGCACAACATTTCGCAAATTTCACTGATATTAGTAATTACTGGTACTTTTTTAATTGGAAAAATTTAAGCTTATTCAATAAATTAGCAATTCGATTCTTGTTGAGCGTATATTGGTTAATCCAAAAAACAAGTGTAGGAATCATAGTATTATCTCACTCTGATCCGGTACACTGGAAATACGCCCAAACCAATGGTTGAAGAGTTCAAGAGTAACTAATTTATATTTTTCGGTTATTTGTACATTGAAAGAAAACATACACAATATTTTAGAACTAAAAATATAAAATAATTTGAAGAGCAAACATATATTTAATATAAATTTTATAAATCTACATACCATAAACGCTTAGGTAAGCCATAAGCTCAGCTTTACTGAATTTACTACAGTGAATCCCAGATATATGAATACATAGCAAGAGTTTTTTTAAAATGTCGTATTACATATTTAAGATCAAATGCCGCGGAAATATGAGTTTAATATTAATATATCAATTGCATTCATATTTCAGGACTATTAATTTACCGTGAATTAAAAAAGAAGCTTCTTTAAAATTATACATTATACAAAACTCTTGCTTTGTATTCATGTATCTGGGATTCACTGTATGATCAGATGTATACATGGCAACCTGGAAGTAAGACTAAGCTCCTTGTTTGTTACACGCATCTAGCTCTGCCTCTTTAGTAAAAGTAAATTCAACATATATGAAGCATAAAGTCTGACTGCGTCAACCTTGTTGCACCGGCTAGTCCTGTTGAGTGCCTGCTTAATTAAGCCAATGTCCGTGCGGTACAGTACAAACTGGGACCGGAAAGGTTGACCCGGCTCGGAAATTCAAATGTACCACGGCTGGCCGTGGTTAACAAAAACCGGTATATTTTAACACAGCTTACAATACATTGATTTAATGCTATCCATCATAAATTCCTACAAAATTCCACGTAACAAATCTACAGAGTGACATTAAACTTTTATTGGGGTCATGTAAGGAATTACTTTATATTTCCACTGGAGGGATTTAGATATCTATCCAGTGGGTTTATAATTCCACTGGAGGGATTCAGATATCTTTCCAGTGGGTTTATAATTCCACTTGAGGGATTCAGAAATCTTTCAAAGGGGTTTATATTTCCACTGGGAGGATTCAGATATATTTGAAAAAAAAATTTTTGATCATGAAATAACATATTTTTATAAATAAATATATTCATCCTTCTCTCAAGGCATACAAGTATACATATTCAATATCTACTCCAATTAGTTAGTTAGTTAAACAAAAAATCTGATTTATGGGTCTTACATACCTACGTCTCCAAACCTGAGGTGGATAAACATTGAAAAGGGCTTCATTTATTGCAAATCATCTATATGCTTAAGAATTATAAAAAATCGTTACTTTACCCTATTTTTCTTTGATCATATTTCGATTCTTTGTAAAAGTTTTGTCATATTGGACGACAAACTAGCAGTACAGAAAATGCGCCAAGTAATGTCATGCTGAGCTGAAAACTTCAGAATGTGATATCCTTAATCCCGATATGTTAATTAATCTGGAGATTAAATTCATGAGGACAACAAGCAATATTTAATCTGGAGATTAAGAAAAAGAGTCGATCAAGCATTAATCCCGATATCCACCATTCTAAAGTTCCCAGCTCTGGTCATTTTACTTGTACATCTAAACAAATGTTTTTCAAAATAGTTTACCATTTCACAAGTGTTTGTTTATCTGTAATGTCAATTTGCTGTGCGTCAGTTTTAATATTGACTGCATATTCTGACTTTTTTCCTCCTTTCTGAAAAATACAAAGTTTTTTCTGACCCCTAAATATAAATATAAATATAAAAATATCATTATTAGAGAAAATATTGGTCGAAATTTGATATAATAATTGAGTTCTCATTTAGGAAGGTTTATAAAAAGAAAATAGCTCTAATATTGCCAGCATAGATTAATAACAATATAGATAAAACACTGCATGTCGTCTTTTCAAGATTAAGGTGTTTTTCGTTCGCCATAACCCGGTGATGCAAAAGCCTAAAGTAGATATGCGCATTCTCTCTCTCTTCAACGCAGCATGCGCGTAACTCCTTTGGGCTTCTGTACGAAAACCTCCTAAATCTTTGGACTTCTGAATGAAAACCTCCTAAATCTTGAAAAGACGACATCTAGTTTTATATCTAATTAATTAATCTATGATTGTCAGGGTGAAAAAACTACAGATATTTCTTCTGTTTTAAACTAAATTTACAGCAATGGAACCAGGCTCAGTTACTAAACTTCGTAAGATAATTAATATGTTTAAATATATATTTGAGTTGTAATAAATATACAATGACTAATTAGTCTAAATATATAACAATAACAACAGCTGCATCTTCTAACCGAACCCCTCGTAGTGATGTTTGAAATATGGAAGTTTTTTATTCCTATTTACAAGTTCACATGCTGTATTGTTAGCTCGGGTAACAGCCCTAGATTAGAAATAAGATTAATTATTATAGATTGTTTAGGGATGGGTTCGTGCAAACTTTTTCCAGCCGTTTCGTTAACGGTTAGTTCCAACCGTTAAAAACTCAGGTAGCCGTTTGTTTTAAACGTTATTGACCGTTTTTTAAAAGTTACCTTTAGTTAACGATCTTAATTTTATTATCGGCGTTAACGAAAGATATTCCGCCGTTAACGGTTGTTTGTAGTATTGACGGCATTAACGGTTTTCCAAAAGTTACCGTTAGTTAACGATCTTAATTTTATTATCGGCGTTAACGAAAGATATTCCGCCGTTAACGGTTGTTTGTAGTATTGACGGCATTAACGGTTTTCCAAACCTTACAAATGTCCATAAAAATCGAAAGGTTTATTAAATTGGATTTACGGCACAAGCAGGATCACTATGAATTGCAAAACATATTTTACAAAGTTACATCATATAAGTAAGGGTGGAGAGGTGGAACTGATAATGCCATTTTTAAACATCAAAATACATAAAAAATTCTTTTTTGCAAGCTTTATGCAATTTTAGCAGAAAAAAAAGATCGAAAGTTGCCTTTTTTAAAAACCCCTCCGTTTAGTTTGTTGTTTTCAACCGTTAATGTCCTACATGTCAAAACAAAAAAATCTTTAAATTTTCATATTTTGATTTTACCTTGGGCCACAACTAAACACTCCAACAGAACTCACCTATAAAAATAACAATTTGAAAATTTCAAATGAGATTCAAAATACTTTTTTAAGGAACTATAAAGATGTTGCCACAACTCAAATTTTTGAATCCCAATATCTTTGCAAACTGATGGTATGCACCTTATATATGTCAAACTTGATCTTATATAGCTTGAAATATAAAAGGTCCGCGACTGTTGTTTGCAGGGATTAGAAAATTTGACTTTTTGTTAAAATTCTCAGTTTTTTTGCCCTATACTCACATAGCTGTGCTTCTTCTGAACAAATTTGAAAAATGCCTCCATATCAGGCCTACCAAAATGGTTCTGAAAAAATATTGTCAATCTTTATAAATACTTTGCTTGTCTGTCTGTCTCTTTGTTCTCCGTTTGTTTCCAATAAACGTCAAAACGGTTGAGCTACATTTTGCTTAGTCACATTTTGCCTAGTTCAGTTTTGCCCAGTTCAGTTTTGCCTCTAGGTAACATTTTGCCTAGGTAACATTTTGCCTGGGTAACTCTTTGCCTAATTCAAATTTGTCTATAGTAACATTTTCCCTGGGGTAACATTTGCCTAGGTAACACAAGAGCATGTTTTTTGTCTATTACTTTTTTCAAACCAATTTTGTCAAAAATTAATTGAATGAAAAATCTTATAGGACAATTAAATTGTGTCTCGCACTAGCACTTTCAATATTCCAAATACCATGACTCAAAACCTATAAAATGATAAAGTGATAATAAAGAGTTTTGATTCTCCTCTACGGCAAAATTAGCGTGTATCATACTCCACAGAAGATGAAACATTGTTAAATGTATCAGCTATATATATATTTTAAAAATAAAGTTTACGTCATGGAGTAAGGGTTTGAATATAATCATCTTTCGACATGGTATGGTAGGAAACTGAATGATTTTTAAAAAGTTTTTATGACAAATTCGCGGATTTTTGAATTTTTTTATTTTGTAAAATAAATTACTACGAAAAAAATGCACTCTTATGTTACTCTAGGCAATATATGTTACCTAGGCAAGCCGTTATTCAGGCAAAATGTTACCAAGGCTAAATATTACTAGACAGGCATTATGTGACTAGGAAAAATGTGACGAACAAACTAAAAGACAACTAAAATAAATAAATTAAAAAAAGTGTGGACTGCACCTGTGCTCTAAGTCCGGTAAAAAGACTTCGCCTTGAAAGCTGTTGGAAATGATTTTCACAAATGTACTGAACAATCAACAATTAGTAAAACTTCCAAAATTGTAACAATTTAAACAATTTAAACATTTAAAACAATTAAAACAATTTTCCAATTTTAACAAATTTCAAATTAAGGAGTCATATGATTGAAATTGGTTTTCAATTTTTCTTAACAGTTTTATTTAAGAAGAATCTTTTTTAATTTAGAGTAACGTTAATTTGATTCAGACCAAATGCAAGAAATAAAGGTTAGCTTATTTTTGTTTTAGAATGGTAACAAGAAAGAGAAAGAGGGCCTCATATTTTTTATTTTTTGGCAAACAAAGAAAGATTGAAACCAAGGCTTGGACTAATCATGGTTGTATGGTAGTAGAGCCGGGTCAGGGCAATAATTTTTTCCTATTTTTTTTTTAACAACAAAAATTGAAGTAAAGAGTGATCCTTTTTTAATGTAAATAAATGTAGACATAGCTTTGATTGACCCCGCATTCTATAGAGGGTAATGTCTGATTCACAACAGTATCCTATGTTTAAACCGTCATTAATCATCAGACAAAGTATTAAAGGGAACCATTGGGAATCAAGCATGCCAATAGGAATAGAGGGTCACTTGAAATTACGCCTAGAGTCCCTTTAACTTGAAATTACGCCTTCTGTCCCTTTAACTTGAAATTATGCCTACAGTTCCTTTAACTTGAAATTACGCCTAGAGTCCCTTTAACTTGAAATTACGCCTTTAGTCCCTTTAACTTGAAATTACGCCTACAGTCCCTTTAACTTGAAATTACGCCTGCAGTCCCTTTAGCTTGAAATTACGCCTTTAGCCCCTTTAACTTGAAATTATGCCTACAGTCCCATTAACTTGAAATTACGCCTACAGTCTCTTTAACTTGAAATTACGCCTACAGTCCCTTTAACTTGAAATTACGCATTCAGTCCCTTTCAAAAAAAATTGCTTACCAACATTGTTGTTCTGGAGTCCCGAGCAAAAATTAAATTTAATATTAAAAAAAAATTTCCAAGACTGATTTTTGAAAAGAAGATAGTTTTCGAAATATTTCATTACATGTTATTTTGATATTTAAATTATTAGAAAAGAGTTGAGTCTTTGTCTCAAACTCAGATTTTCTTATCCCTATAAATTTGCAACCCAATGTCGTAGACCTGAAATATTTCAAACTATGAGTTCTGTTAGATCACTTAATCTAAGTTTGAAATATCAAAGGTTTACACCATCAGATTGCAAACTATAAACTTTGAGCGTGTGGAAAAGAATCAATTCTTTAGTTTAATAAATGTTTTTTTTCAAAATAAAATGTAATTTTTCCTTAAATCGAACTTATGAAAGAACTGTGTTATGAAGATGTGCATTTCTAGAACCTATAAATAGTCCAATTAATAATTATTCACAATAAAGATGAATAGCTTTAATCGGATAAAATGATGTATTTGATAAACTTTTTACAAGGATATTTTTTTCCTTACATTAAAGCTTTAAATATTGTTCTACGGTAATAACAAGAAAACTCTAAAATAAGAAGACGACTTTTAGAATCAATCTATGACTTTTAAGAGTCTAATGTGCATCGGAAACAGACCCATTTCACTTAGTCAGTGATTTGTTAAATGTCGAGCAAAACAATTTGCTTTGTAACAGCATAAAATACACTTCAATATTGATATAATGTCGTCATCCTATTCCAATGTTTCTGGTTATCACTGTATCCCAAGTGTACGTAAAAAAGATCCAACCTTTGTGACATCCTTCCTCTCAACGCTTCTCAGTACATCGATAAACCATTCAAAATATCGATGTGATGGACAAATCCACAGAAAATAAACCTTAATTACAACATTTTTATCATTCTTTTAAACATTTTTTATTTTTTAACATTTTATTTTTAATTGAATAAATTTCTGGAAAATATTAATAAATAGATAAAAGCGTTTAGTAAACTCTTCAAGAGAACAGGATTCCATATAATACCAATTCTGATCCCAAATGGGATCGAGGTTGAAATAAATTACGAATACTGTTTTCGAAATTACGAAAAGAATTTTATGATAAATTAATTAGCTTTCCACGACATTCTTTTCATAATTTCGAAAAAAATGTTTGTAATTCTAAAATGCTTTTAGTCTTCATTTGTATGAACAAACTACTGTGTGGTTTCTACGTTCTATCAGTGCCAAAAGACATTTTCTTTCATACAGAAAAAAAATAAAATAGTTTTTATAATAAAATACTACAATGTGTTATGCTATCATTATTTTAGCCAGTTGAAAATAAATGTTAGAAAATAAATCTTTTTTTTTGATAACAAAGTAATAACAGTACTTCTTATCATTTTCATTTTCTAGATTACCTTTTTACATTTTCTAGAATACCTTTTTACATTTTCTAGATTACCTTTTTACATTTTCTAGGATACCTTTTTACATTTTCTAGATTACCTTTTTACATTTTCTAGATTACCTTTTTACATGCTACTCCTGAGTACCGATTAGTTGAAGTTCCAAACACTAAAATATATATTTTTAATTCGGTTCATTTCTTTTATCAAAGTGCATTAAACGTATTTAAAAAAACATTTCCTAATATATTCAATCTGAGGATAAAAAAACAAAAAAATTGATGCTTACGACAAATTCAGGTTTTAACTAAATGATGTTTCTTTACTGCAGAACTTAAGTCAAGAATACTATTTGCAAACCCCCCCCCCCCCTCGCTAATTAATTTGTGTACACTGGTTCCCGATCTGTTAACAATACGATTACCCAGATCATTTAGAATAGAAGCATACGGAGTGACGCCAATTCCTAAATAAAATAAATATAAATAAAACATGAACAGCTTTAGAAACCTGTCTCTTAGTTAATAGTCGGTAAATATTAACAGCGGATCGTAGAAATTATAAGACTAAGCTCAATTACAAAAACTTTTAAATATAAAAATTTTTTTGAAATAAAATAACTTAAACCTAAACTTTTGGTATTTCAAGCTTTGAATATTTGATTTGAGTTTGAATTATCAAAGATTAAACATCATCAGGTTGCAAAGATTATAAAGTGAAGCAGTCAATTTCATAGTTTTTAGAATTTTTAAATTATTTTAGATTTTCCCCTCACCTGCTCCAATCATAACTGCCACTTCAAACTTATACCAGTCTTGGTTTCCTCCGCCAAACGGTCCTTGGAGGCGGATCTTTGCCACTAGAGGAGCGGCGGAGAGAGATCTCCGCCGTCGTAGCCCACTCTCCGCCTCAACCTCTTCTGTATCTGTCTCTGGATTTAGAGATGGATCAAAATAGTTTCTAAAATAATTAATGATAAATCAGAGTGTTGAAATTGTGTGTGAATGTGATTGTGTCTATGACGTAAAGTTATCTAGAACGAAGTATATTTTGTCAGTGCGACGAGGGGGGGAGTGCAGAAGTAAAAAAACGCCACCCAAACGTGTTTTGTAATCAGAAATGAAAAAGTTAACATTAAACCGTTTTATTTCTTAGTAATAAGACCATATTGACATCTGTTAATGGCCCTATGGTGTACAATATTGTTAAAGCTTTCTTTATTGCTCCTCAGTTTCGAAAATAAGTCTATAAATATGCCACATGAATCGCCTTTTCAAACTTTTTAAACCTTTTTAAGCTAAAGAAAATCAAAGAATCTTATTTTAACGGTCAAAAATGGGTTAACGTTAAGGCTCACAGACTTATTAAACAGGACCCCCAGTTTACCGTGCCGTACTTTTTTATCTATTTAACTTACAGCCGCCAAAACCACAAGCATTTTAAAGATTTAAGAAAATTAAACATGAAAGATCTGCCGTACTGTCTCTACTTAATAAAGGTTAAGAGAGGTGTAATGAGCGAGAAATCACGGTGCAAACCAAGGTTGTAAAATAAGGTTGCATTTACTCTAGATGCGCTCCAATGTCGTCTCCTAAGATAGATAGAAAAACCTCATATGACGTCACTTATTATAGATGCGAGAGTGACGTTATATTAGGTTTATATCTATCTATCTTAGGAGACGACATTTTTCATACATTGCAGTGCACCGAGAGTAACTTTGATTATTATACAACCTTTGCGCAAACTGTGTTATTTAGGAGAAGGGTTTATTTCAAATTCTCTTCCAAAAACATCACATAGATATGATAATACATGAATTTAATTATTAGCATGAAATCAGTTCTATGCTATAGTTCTACCTCAGTTTCCAAGTCCATGGTCCTATTGCCTTGATGTGCACTGAAAGAAAATCTAAGAAAAAGCATTTAACAATTGACCATAATACCAAAAACTCAAGATTTCAAATAAATTGTATAATTAACGTTGCATTGAAGGAACTGGGCTTTTTCAATTGAACAATGCCCGATTTACATCGGTTCCCTCAAATCCGTTGTGTGTTCATTGAGTACAGAGATATGTGTGTTTAAACTTATCAAAACTCGCTTGTGTTCAGCTGTACTGTACACATGTTTAAAGGCTACCGTTGTAAATCAGGCAGTGCCCTCTTTCCATATAGGTTCACTGGAAATTGCGCAAATAGTCCCTTTAATAATGAATAACGCCAACAAATAAATAAATGAACTTCCACAAAAATGAATAAATAAATGAATTATCAAAAAAATAAATAAATTTAAAAATGCTTCCTTCGTGTGGAGCTGATGTGATGGTAAGACTATGAAACTCCTCAGGTTGAATTGCAGTACAGGAAACTTTTATGTACTGCCCTGAAACGGAACACACGTACGTATAACAAACGTACATATAGATCAGTTAAATGGTTTTGATTCAAGTTCCATGACTTTCATAAATAAGAAGAATGTTTTTAAAATCAGAAAACTCACAGAGAACGTAAAAGTTGTAAAACTTTAAAGAACTTTTCTTCAAGAAAAATGAAAAAATTTGAACCTGAAAGAAACTTGTAGTTAGGAGGTCGATAGAACTTGATTCTTATAACATCAGAGGGTAGCAGGGTCGTCTCAAGAATATCTAACTCTAGGTAGCTTCTAGAGTAAAGTTTCATTATAATGAGCCAAAGTATAGCTATACTATAATATAAAATAATATAATATATAATATATTAGCTTGGGAACCCAGCTTTGCTAGAAAATCTAAAGTTTTCCTTTATAAATCTACCAGCTCAACATGAAGTTATTAAAGCGAGCTAAAAACATTCCCGTGGTTCTGTCGAGTTCCCAAATCAAATATTGAGTCAAATGGTGTTCACGAGTTATAGTCGGATATACAAACAACCAAACAGAGATTAATACTTTATATAGATTAGATCATATTTATACATTTTTAGTTGTATATTTGGCTTGTGTATCTGCCTGTGTTCAATTAGTACCCCTGGTATGGTTCCTGGCCGTGGTCAGAAAATGTTTACATTATAGAAGTCTCAATAACTCAGAATGATAACATATTTTCACAAGTTTATTTATTCATATGTTACTCGTTTAACATACTAAGAATGACTAGTGTAAAATCCGAGATTGAACAAGTTTGCGAAATATCAGTGAAACTGTTTGCGCATTTATGCAAACTCAATTCTAATTTTAACATTTAGGACAAAATCATATTTTCTTATAACTAAAAGTCAGGCTTCTACAGTTCTCCCTCCCAAGTTTCAGGCATGGTGCAGCAGGACTGTGACTGAAAATAATCCATTAGAAGCTGCTACTTTCTTGGGACGTCCCTTATTTGGAGGTTCTTCTAGAGTAGGTGCATCAATTGAGATCACTGCTTTCAGCCTGTCTATTGAGACATTATCTTCACGATTACCAATTTTAATTTTAAAATATTTAGATTTCTTTTCTGATACTTTAAAAGGTCCTCTGTAGAGCGGAGATAGAGGGAGAACATGACCATCCTGTCTAATAAATACAAACTCTGCTTGTTGCAATGATATTGGAATCTTTTGAGTGTGTATTGTTGTAGGATGGTTGATTTATAACTTGTAGCTTGTGTTCCCTTTGCGTATGGATCTATTTCCTTCCCAACAAACAAAAGTCAACTTTTTTCTTTACAAAAATTCTCCTTTTCCCCCCAGAAGTCGACTATTTGTCGAGCTTCATGTCGACTTTTTCTAGTCGCAAATTTCAACATTTTTACCAATTTTTAAAATTAGTCGATATAGATCAGATTTTAAAGTTGTTAGTTCAAAACTAGTCTTAAACTAGGATAGCAATCCAGTTCTGTTATCTCAGATGAGTTTACCTTCTAAGGCTAACAATTTTGTCCAGAATATAAATAATTCCAGGGCCCATTACAAACAACCAGAATTTAGGTGCTTGAGTTATCCTAAATATGTTAAAAAGGTTTATTTTATTTTAAAATTTTTATTACACAATAATTAAATATAAGGACTCTTCTCTGTATCTTTAATTTTATTATTTGCCCACACAGATCTGATTTTTGATTTAGAGAGAGAAAGAGAAAGTAGTCACATGAGTCATGTGACTGCCTTTTCTAGTTTTGACAGAACAGCATATCACGGGGGAGGGGGGTGTCCCCCTTCCAGGAAAATTCCAAGAAATTACAATAATTTCCGAAGTTTTTGGCAGATAGATTACAAAGGGAACCCAAAGCACAATTTTTTTTTACTTTCTTTTATATTTTCCTAAACTTCATTTTCCCAAAAAAAATTATGTATTATTTTATTATAATTGATAATCATAATAATAATAATAATAATAATAATGATGATGATAATAATAATAATAATAATAATAATATTAATAATGATAATAATAATAGTAATAATACTAGTTCACCTGTTATCCCTGTAAGTGTATTAAAGAGCCAGTATGTAATATTAGGGTTGACCCCTGCAGGAATATTTATTTCTCTAAAAAATATTTTCTAATTTTTTCAGAAACATTTATTTTGAAATACCTCGGCAATTAATGGCAATGTGAATCAGCTGACTCCGGGCAGAATGGCGCGAAATTTAGGCAAATCTAATAAAAATCCACCATTTTGTGTACCTTGACATGCACTGTAGATGATGTACAGGCTGGGTAGACACGTGGTAGAAGTTTACAAGATGGCCGGCCGTGTGTACAAGGGAGAAGAACAGGGCAGTACAGGAACAGATCTTGTGAAACTAAAAAGATTAAAAATAAATATAAATTTTAAGAATATCCAAAAGTAAATAAAGGGGAAGCTCCTTTTTTTCTACATGTACATGAAGATCTAATAAAAAAGGTTATAAAAGGACTTCTTTATTTCCACCTCTAAATGACGATCTAAAAATAGATATTAATAAAGGGAAAGCACCCTGTATTCTAGCTACATATGAAGATATGAAAGTAAATATTAATAAAGGGAAAGCTCCTTGTATTCTAATTGAATATGAAGATCTAAAATCTAAAAAAAATCTAAAAATATTTGATGATAAAAACATAGCTATTTTTTCCTCCCCTTTATGAAGATCTAAAAATAAATAGCAATAAAAGGACAACTCTTTCTTTCCACCCATAGACGATTTAAAAATAACAGGAAAAAAGGACAGGTTTTTTTATACATGAATAACCCGATCTAAGCATAAATATTGATAAAGGGAAAGCTCCCTGTTTACACCTGTATATGTAGATCTAAAGGTATATATTGATAAAGAGAAAGCTCCCTGTTTACACCTGTATATGTAAATCTAAAGGTATATATTAATAAAGGGAAAGCTCCCTGTTTACACCTGTATATGTAGATCTAAAGGTATATATTGATGTAGAGAAAGTTCCTTGAGTTTTGTGATAAGATTTCTGCAAACACTGAGCAAAAGAACAGAGTAGCTAAAGGTTAAAGCACTAGCAGACCCACGCGTTATTGCAATACCTTCAAATAAGTATTTTTGATTTTTTTATCAATCAAACTATTTATTTTTGCAATCAAAGACTTTTTTGCAATCAAACTTTTTTTTCAATAAAACTATTTTTTTGTTGCAATAAAACCATATCTTTTTGCAATCAAACTATTTTTTTGCTATAAAACTATTATTTTTCATTAAAACTATTTTCTTTTTGAAAACAAGCTAATTAACCATGTACTCTATCTATTTTATTTGCAATCAATCTATTTTTTAAAAAACTATTCATTTTTGCGATCAATCTATTCAATTTTGCAATCAAACTATTTAATTTGCAATCAAACTATTTTATTTTGGAACAAACTATTTAATTTTTCGATCAAACTAATTATTTTTGCAATCAAATTATTTTTTTCCGAGCAAAATGTTTTTTTTTGCAAACAAAATTTTTTTGTTTTACCTACTCCCATCACTTGTCTGAGATCTGTATGCTCCGCCATAAAGGAATAATCTAAAAATAAGAATTATAACAAAATTATATATATCATTTGGCACTTTTTTCATACAAATAGCCAGATTCTTTCAGCCCGTGTTTTAAAGAATTTTGTAACAAAAAGATAGAAATCAAATTTCAAATTCACTCAGTGCGTCACTTTTTTTGTAAATAAAAGTTCCCTGTAGTGCTAGGGGGGGATGCAGAGCAACCATGAGCCCCGCGAACTGACCTCAGGAGCCTCCGGATTCTCAGAATGACCTCCTAGCCAAACAAAATCTTGAACAATGATATACAATAAAAGCACAAAATTAAGTATTTCACAAAAACTAAATTGTTTGCAAAATGTTGAATTTGTCTATCTTTATATAAAGCTGTAAAAGTTATGCCCAAGTTTCGGAATTTATAAAATAAAGGAAAAGCAAAAAATAGAAGTCTTAATTTTTTTAAGACAAATTGTTCATGTATTATTGAAATTTTTTGGAGCATGTTGAGATTTTTAAAAAATAAGCCTTTTGGTGGATGTTAAAGCCAAATGTTTGTTATTGAAGAAAATAAAGCTGGACGAGGAGTAAACCTTGCAGCGGCTTGGAGACGTAGCTTGAGACATGGAGATGATTTTGATTGGCTAGGTGGTTATTCTGCGAATCAGGAGGCACTGGAGGTCATTTCGCAGGGCTCAGGCGGCTGCTCTGCATCCCCTCCCTTCTAGTGCAAGCGAAAATATATATTTTTTTTTTTCAAATCAGAAATTGAATAAATAATAGGCAAACAACTGACTTTTTATTGGAAATTTGCAGATACCAAAGAAATACTACATTTTCTGATCTATTGAAATTTTATACTTTATTTACCAGGTTGCCCCCTCCCCACTTACGCATGAATCTCTCTATGAATAGATTACTTACGCATAAACCTCTCTATGAAAAGTCCGAATGTAGCTGCATAGAAGAGAATAATATAGAACAAAGCCTGCCTATTCTCCTCTAAATAAACCACCAGGCTCTCCCATCTAGAACTCAGGGAGGATTTGCAGACACCTGTAAAATTGTGATGTATTTTTGAGACCGGGTTATCGTTGAATTGACTTTAACAAATAGACATTTAATAAGTTCACACTAACAATTAGACATTTAAAAACTTAATACTAACAATTAGACATTTAAAATATTGACACTAACAATAGACATTTAAAAACTTGATACTAACAATTAGACATTTAAAATATTGACACTAACAATTAGACATTTAAAATATTGACACTAACAATTAGACATTTAAAATATTGACACTAACAATTAGACATTTAAAAACTTGATACTAACAACTAGACATTTAAAAACTTGTTACTAAAAATTAGACATTTAAAATATTGACACTAACAATTAGACATTTAAAAACTTGATACTAACAATTAGTCATTTAAAATATTGACACTAACAATTAGACATTTAAAAACTTGATACTAACAATTAGACATTTAAAAACTTGATACTAACAATTAGACATTTAAAATATTGATACTAACAATAGACATTTAAAAATTTATAATAACAAATAGACATTTAAAGTATGACGAATATAAAAACTATTTTACCTTGTGTTTCAGTTTCATCTTCTAGCTTAAAATTTGTCATTCGTGCAACATTTGATGTTGTGTCAAGGAAATTATGATGTGCTCCCTGGAACATATTTTACAGCTTTAAAGGGACTGTCTTTGTAATTTCAAGTGATCTTTTATTTAAACGAGGACTTGCCTGATTCACAACGGATCCAATATAAACATTTTTCTGATAAAAATGTCGTTGTTTTTATAGCTTGCAAAGTTCATATATTGTTTCTTACATATTACTTAGAAATCACACGTGAATTATAAAGAGAAGATGATGGATTCTTTATTAGACAAGGATTAAAAGGGTAGCGGTGTGAATCATACATATCACTCTACTTTCGAGAACTCCTTGAAATTACGTGAACAATTCCTTTCAGCTCAACGTTAATGTTATTTAGATAATAACTATTCAGATGTTTGACAATGCCGACTTTGTATCATTAATCAAAAATAGATAAAAACAAAGATGTGACACTAAAAAATTGAAAAATTAGTTGTTGTATTCAATATCCATGTTCTTAAATTATGTTTTGCATGTTTTTTTATCCATTGCTTTTCAAAACCGTTAGATGGTTAACAATTTAAAAGAATTACTTGCCTTGCAATCCAAGCCAACAGTAAGTAAATCTCCCTTAAACTGACCCATCAACTTCTAAAAGACAAATAAAAGCTTATTTCACAAACTTATTGAGTCTTTGCCACAAGGTACAAACTCTGATTTTATAATCCCTTTATCTTGCCACACAATGTCGTCAACCTTAGATATTTCAAACTTTGAATTATGTGAGATCAAATTATCGAAGTTTGAAATATCAAAGGTTTACGCCCTCAGATTACAAAGATATACTGATTATAAAATTTTAAAACGTTGGATTGACTTAATTCCTTTAATTTAGCAGATGACATTAAGACGATTGAGTTGAGTAAATTTTATTCGAATCATATTATGTTGCAAAAAAATGAGCATTACTACATGGAAATCAGCTATGCAGCCTGGAAAGCAGCAATGCTGCCTTGAAATCAGTAATACCTTGAAATCACCAATAATACCTGGAAATTAGCAATAATACCTAATAATTAGCAATGCTATCTGAATATCAGCAATACTACCTGGAAATCAGCAAAAATACCTGAAAATCAGCAATGCTACCTGTAAATCAGCAAAAATACCTGAAAATCAGCAATGCTACCTGGAAATCAGCATAAGAAATACTAGAAGTATTCTCTATCCCCGCTGTCTGGAACATTGAGCTGATAAGATCAGATACGTCAGAACTCGGGATTTTATCAGTTTTAGCCAGAGCTATCAGACTGGCCAACATATCCTTAATATAAATAAAATCTATATATTAAAGCTCTTCGCTCATATATATATATATTTGTATATGTTAGCTACAGCTGGCAAAAAGGCTGAACAAAATGGACCGAAATTCTTTGAAGACGCATTGGTACCCGCGTGGGGTAAAATGGGCTTTAAAAAATCAAATTTTATTTAATCAAATTTTTTCTTCAAATTTTTTTTTAATTCTACGGCACAGCTTTGTTCTTTGGCTAGTAAGGATGGAAGAAAGAAATGTATATGGTTGAGTGCAAGATGGAAGAAAGGCAGGTCTGTGATTCAAACAAATCAAGAATAGTCCAAAGGCCGATTTAAAGAATTGAAACCGCGTTGTCGAACCGCCAAAAACCGGTTCCAATTAAGCGCCGGCTCAAATCTCGCAGCATGAATACAATTTTAAGTTTTACCAACCATGTTGGAGGTGGCGTCTCAAATTTAAGGCGCTGCTCAACTTCTTTATACTTGGCCTTTGTACAATATTTTTTAAGCTACAGAGCTACTTATTTTTTGAAAATCTATTGAAAAATAAATATAAAAACATGTGTGCATATTAATTTTTGTCGAAAACCAAAATTGTTTTTTACATACTTACTTCAATTTTGTTACCCTCCCTAGCACACTAGTCATGAAAACTTGAGGTTTCTATTTAATAAGTTGGCCTTAATAAATTTTGACTTAACATGCTTTTCACCTCCTGTTTACAAATTTAAACTAAATTAAACTTTCCCCAGAAATATTATTTTAAGTAGGTCTAGATGCAATTGTTTTTTATCTACCCTTTGTCAAATAACGTCATTTAATGGATAATTTGTTAAAATTATGTTTTATAATATAAAATAATTTAATGATTTTCTTTGGAGAAAAAAGTCCAGAGCTGGGAATTTTAGAATGGGATATCCTTTATCTTGATTGGTTGATTAATCTGGAGATTAATAACAAGAGCAGAACAAGCATTATTTAAGCTGGAGATTAAGAAAAAGAGGAGATCAAGCATTAATCCCGATATCCACCATTCAAAAGTTCCCAGCTCAGCTAACCTTAAAATCGTTTTTATCCACTAGACCATTAGAATCCTCTTCGCACATATCATAGATTATTCGTAATTTATCATCCACACGCCCTGACCAACCATCAACCATCAAACCAGGAGAATATTTTAACCCTAAGAGGCCGAGAGAGGAGAAGGGGGGGGGGGTTAATCTTTTCTTTAAATTTTGAAGATAGCATGTGTTGTTAAACCCCAGCTAAATTCTTCAATTAATGTTAAAAAAGTACAATTGAAATCATCACAATTCTTTTTACGTTTTTAGCCTAAAATGTCGTGGAAAGTTAGAGCTATTTTTAAGAAATTTTTATTTCTGTATTTAAGGAAAATTTAGTTAGAGGGTAACCATGAAAAACTATCTAATTGATATTGAGCTGTAGGGTTTGCGAGGGACGAGTACTCGACCATTCTTATAGTAAAGGGTTAAATATCAGGCTCAGGTTAAAATGTAAAATTAGATGATTTTAATTAAGGAAGTAAAGACAAAAATTAAAAGTCTTAGATTCGCTTCACACGTCAAGCATTAGAATAACGTGAACTGCAATTTAAAGTGTTGGAAGCGCTCATGCTAAAATCGATGAGAATAATGTAAATTGTTTTTAATGACTATACCCAATAACAAGTGCTTTATAGTTCAAATATGTACATGTCTTGGACTAGAAAAAGAATAAGTGAAATATAAAGCTGTACAATCAAAGCCCAAGGCTTTGCGACACTTTAAAGTGGATTCTGTCTTGTAAATTGATGGAACATGTAATAGCAGGATGAATCTATAGTGTGTGGAGATGTATGAAAACGTCAAAAAACGTTAAGATATATAATTTTTAGTAGGGTTTGAAGTATTCCTTTAGTGAAAAGTATGACGGTATCCAGAAAATTTTTAAATGAAATTCTTCCATTGTTTTCCTTGTCAACAATTCGGAACATTTTCCTAAAATATTTTTTATTAAATATAATTAAAAATTACAATGTCATAAAAAATCAAATTGTATTTGTAAACTATTCTTCAGTCAAAATTGTAAATAATATTGGACACAAGGAAACTATTTTCTAATCCTTATATCTATTCAACCTAATGATTTTTTAATATTTTATTTATATATTTCAAACTAGTCAAAGTTAGAAATATAAAAGTTTTAAACCGTCGTGAAGCTTGCTTTAGAAAATAAAAGTTTGAGGTAAAAATTTGCTAGTTTCCTTGTTTCAATGTCAAATGTACACGTCAACAAAGTATAAAGTTTTTATAACTTCACATTATAAAATTAAGAAATTGAGTCTTTGCAACAAACTCAAATTTACAAAACCTGATGGCGTAAACCTTTTGTATTTTAAACTTGATCGAACATAATCCATAGTTTGATATATTTATAAGGCTTAATGTGTACAACAATGGGTTACAAAAATATAGGAAAATGAAATTTTAGAGTTTGTGGGAAAACTCATTTCCTCAGTTAAAAAGTGATTAGTTAAATAAACGTCTTTGAATAATACAAGAAATAGTACTTGAAATTTTGAAAGTTAGACGTAAGCTATATTGTGGTAACCGTACAGGGTTACCCACAAAGAATAAGACTTCAATGATACAAATTTAAGCATTAAGCCTTAAATAGAGTCTTATAATGGTATGAAAGAAGATTCTACAACGAAAGAAAAAAAGGGGTCGAGAACCATAAATGTAAGAAAACATGATTAGATATTCAGCGCGTAAGATCGTTTATGAAGTCTCATCCTTTGTGGTAAACTTCTGTTTTCTGAAAATTTGTTAAAACACAAAATGAACAATGTTTTCAATCTCTTCAAACTAAAAGAGTCTAGATATGAATTAACAAAATGACAGATATCAAATCAGAGACAACTTTTATATCAAGAAATTATGAAAAATGCCTAAAGAAACTCATAATTTTCCTTTCTTTATATATATTTGCAATCCATGATATTGTAGACTTTTGATATTTCAAACTATGAATTCTGCTATGTAATGATCAAAGCTGGAAAAATTAAAAGTTTACACATAAGGATAGAAAGAAAAAGTGTATAGAAAATTAGAAAATTATTAATGTTCTTCTGAAGTATATAATGTTTTTAAAATACAATTTAAAAAATATATGTATTATATACCTGACAAACATATCATTAGGTTTCATGCCTAGAGCACTGGCAAATTCCTCTCTACTTAGACATATTGACATTACATCAGAAGAACCAAAACTCTAAACATCTCATAGTAGAATTTGACAGGGATGTTGGACAATTTTATCATGAGCATCAGACCAGGTAAATAATAGTGAGAAACACATTTAGTTTCTCTAGTAAGTATTTATCCTTTTCAGGGGCATTTCATTGACTGTCAATTTTATAATATGCATGTTAGATTTACAACGGTACCCTTTAAACCTTTGTTCGATGGGTTTGGACGATTAATGCCACCACAAAAATACTGTCAACTTACATGATTTCAAAACTGTATTCTGTAAAAGTTTTCTTTCATCAAACTTTGCAATACTTTTATCCTAAGAGTAAATATAGCGAGAAACGAACCAAAAACGTTCTTTTTCATATATTTGCTTTGAGGGGCAAAATTTTTCATGGTGTAAGAAATCAAATGCTTATAAATGATCATCTTTGAAAATTTGCAAGATCTCTCAGATTTGTGAAGAACCTCTGAAAGTTCAAAACCCTCATAATTGTTTTTAAAAGCACTGTTTGTCTGTCTGTTTGCATGGATGTACGATCAAAACTCTCTTAAACATTCTAAGTTGAGTGGGTTGATTTTTTTGGGTTCCTAAGATGATGTATTAGCGTGAGATCCTAAATTTAGCTAAGTTTTCCCTTTAAAAGTCCACCCACTGAACAAAGAATGTTTTAACCAAGCTAAGAACATTCCTGTTGTTCTCCCGTGTTCCCCAATGAAAAATCAAGGCATATCTGTTAAGTGGTTTATAAATCATGATCGGACATCCAAACAGAGATTGCTACTTTATATATATAGATATAGATATATTTGACGAACGGTGCGAATTCAGATCTCTTCTGCAATCACGTTTTTCTTGTATTTACACTAATGATATTTCCTACCTTCGTTTGTTTATGTTGGTTTAGTCCAAATGTAACGGAATACGCCTCCCGGAAGAAATGTTCTAGTTTCTTCTCCCGCTTTGCTTTAGTCTCAGCAGTACTTACTGAAAAAATTTAGATTTTTACATCTTCAATCTATATATACTTTGCTTGTCTGTCTGTTTGATTGTGTCTAATAAACGACAAAATGGCTGAACCGATCGGGACAACATTTTATGTGGGACCTCACTTGAGGTTTATGGATGATCAAAAGTTCAAAAATTGCCCTCCAACAAAATTGGAATTATATCAAATTTTAAAAATCCAGGAAATCTTTTTATAAAATCCGCGATTTTTTTCTAGTTTTTTTAAAATGTATTCTCAAAGAGAAACAAGTCATGATTGAGGTTGTCCAATGAATATGAAACACACTAATTGTGCAGTATACACAGATGACATTTCAAGCGACTGGCAAAACTTTAGACCAGCACCAGCATCAAATACACACAAAAGATTGCTTACTGCAGTCGTCTTCCTATTCCACTGTTTTATAGTTTTCTTTTCTTTAACTAAAGATTGAAACTGCTCATGGAAATGCAATAATTGAGGGTGCCTCATGCCCCATCTAAAATATGAAAATGTTTACCTATAGTTTTACCATTGGTAATTACAGTTTCCATTATACACTGAGTACTGGCCAGTAATCCTTCAACCTACATATATAAAGATAAATTATATCATTTCATTTTATTATTTCCCCTCCATCCCTCCTCTCCTATTTCCTTCCATCGCCCCTCCCTCCCCTATTCCCATCCACACTTCCCCTTGACAAAGCCTCAACGTGTCTGAAGGACTTGAAAACTTACAAAAGAATCTTAAAAGATTATTTTTTATGTTGATTACAAAAAGAAAATTGTCCATGAGAACCTTCTCAATTTTAAAGTTGAAAATAAACTAATTTTTTTTCTCAACTAACCTTCAATAGAAATCGTTTTCTTTCAGCTTCCTTATCAAATGAAAACACTAAAAAATACCAAATTTTCTGCTAAATTTAACACTTTTTCTTAATGCTTATATAAATACTCATTTTCAGGGACGTTATTGAGACTAAAGGATTTGAGTCTTTGCTACAAACTCTGATTTTCTAATCCCTATATCTTTGCAACCCATTGCCGTAGACCTTAAATATTTCAAACTATGAATTCTGGTAGATGTCAAAGGTTTGCACCATCAAGTTGCTAAGATATAGGGATTAGAAAATTTAGTTTGTGACAATTCCTTTGCTATTCAAATGTGACAAGGTTCAGATTTAAAAAATCAAACCTTTTTTAAAATCTTCGTTTTTTTTACTTGATTAATCTGGTTTTCCTATATCATGATAATCCTTTGCTTTAATCAGGGCTAAATATTCTCCTTCATTCTCTACATTCACCTTAACATTTTAAATTTTACAGGGAAAATATATAGGTTGTAGATGTTACTTCAAGGTGACCCTCCATTTATTCACAATTTGGTATCATAGACTTTGTCTGATCAAGTATGAATTAGATATCCATGTTTTTTTTTCTTTGAGAACACTGATTATTTTCAGAAATGGAAAAGTAACAGAATTCAAAACATTTAAAAACTCTACTATTTTACCATATAACTGATCAGAAAGTAGTTTCGAGAATACCGTTGTATATACCCCCCTAATAGTAGAGGGCAAGGTTGTATATACCCCCCTAATAGTAGAGGGCAAGGTTGTATATACCCCCCTAATAGTAGAGGGCAAGGTTGTATATACCCCCCTAATAGTAGAGGGCAAGGTTGTATATACCCCCCTAATAGTAGAGGGCAAGGTTGTATATACCCCCCTAATAGTAGAGGGCAAGGTTGTATAAAAAGGTTGCTTACTCTCGATGGGCTCCAATGCACGGAAAATGTCGTGTACTTTTCATAGATAGATAGAATCCGCATATGACGTCATGCTCCTAGAATCAGTGACGTCATATGCGGATTTTATCCAAAAGTTTTTGCTAAGGAGACGACATTTTCCGTACATTGGAGCGCATCGAGAGTGCAACCTTAGTAAAAAAAAACTTGTCTGAGGGTCACTTGAGAGTTGAAAGTTGAAAGCCATTTTCAGATTGCAAAAAATTTATTTTTATTCTTATTTTTTATTTTTTATTTTTTATTTTTATTTACCTTGACCGTGACAGTTTGTTTTGAGCTGAAGTCAATTTTAGTAAGAATATTTCCTTTCCTAAAAACATTTAAATGTTTAAACCAAACATATTTTAAACTAACTCACTTTGAAGAGTTGAGTTTAAACCAAACATATATATATTAAACTAACTCACCTATCTATGGTTTGTTGAGTTGAGTTTGAACCAAACATATCTTAAACTAACTCACTTATCTATAGTTTGTAGAGTTGAGTTTGAACCAAACATATATTAAACTAACTCACCTATCATAGTTTGTAGCGTTGAGTTGGAACCAAAGATATTTTAAACTAATTTACCTATCAATAGTTTGTAGAGTTGAGTTTGAACCAAACATATATTAAACTAACTCACCTATTATAGTTTGTAGAGTTGAGTTTGAACCAAACATATATTAAACTAATTTACCTATCAATAGTTTGTAGAGTTGAGTTTGAACCAAACATATATTAAACTCACCTATCAATAGTTTGTAGAGTTGAGTTTGGACCAAATTTAGCTTTGACGAATCTGTACGAGTCTTCTTCAATCATTTCACGAACAGTAATCTTATCCAAGCTAAGTTTACTCTCACTAAAAGTTCTTTAAATTATTTCTTTATTTTTTTATTTACTTTTTTTGATGGAATATTAATTTTGAATCTGAACATATCTCAAAATTTCTTAAATTTAGTTAAACTGTGTTTTTCTATTTCATATATCTTTGAAACCCAATGTCGTAGAGCTTAGATATTTCAAACTATGAATTCTGTTTGAAATATTAAAGGTTTAAACAGCCAGGTTCCAACGGTTGAGTTAGTGGCAAAAAATCAATTCTTTAGAAGATAAAACAAATTAAAACTTACTTTCGAGTAAACTTTGCAGCTTTTATCTTCCTCCTGGAAGAGTTGGTGTACTTGATGGCCAGGTAGGCCAGGAACCCGGCCAGGAGGGGGAACCCAACCACTAGCATTATACCATAGATATATGCCATCTCACTACCCTATACATAGTTCAATATATAGTATACCATAGATATTTGCCATCTCACTACCCTATACATAGTTCAATTTAAAGTTTACCATAGATATAGACCATCTCACTAACCTATACATAGTTCAATATATAGTTTACCATAGATATATGCCATCTCACTACCTTATACATAGTTCAATATATACATAGTATACCATGGATATATGCCATCTCTCTTCCCTATACATAGTTAAATATATATAGTAGTATACCATAGATATAGGCAATCTCACTACCCTATACATAGTTCAATATATATAGTAGTATACCATAGATATAGGCCATGATACCCTATACATAGTTCAATATATATAGTAGTATATATACCTTAGATATATGCCATCTCACTACCCTATACATAGTTCAATATATAGTATAGAAACCATAGATATAGGCCATCTCACTACGCTATACATAGTTTAATATATATATATAGAAGTATACCATAGATATGGCCGTCATACACTTTACACATTTCAATGAATAGTAGTATACCATAGATATATGCCATTTCACTACCCTATACATAGTTCAATATATATAATAGTATACAATAGATGTATGCCATTTCACTACCCTACATAGTTCAATATATATAATAGTATACCATAGATATAGGCAATGTACCCTATACATAGTTCAATATATAGTATACCATAGATATAGGCCATCTAACTACTCTATACATATTTCAATGAAGATAAAAAGATAAAGAGTTAAATCTGAAAGCCCCCCCCCCTAATATGGGAGACCCAGACCGCCCAAGGGGTTAAGGAACTTAAGCCCTCCCCCCCCCCTGGCCTCCAAAACACATAATGGAGAGATACTACCAGGAGGCGTGGCAGGAATAGGATCAATATATATAGTAGTATAGATAATTTCAAGTAAACCTCCATTTAAAAGAGTGGAATATCCGATACACAATTCGGTACTTTTCGTATGATCCTAAATAAATGAGACATCTGTGTAATTTGAATTGCCAATTGATTAAATCAATTTGCAGATTTCTGCTGGAGGCAATTGTCAGAATTTAACACTTTTCAATCTTCAAACACCACGATCTCTTTCTTATTATTGAACATCTGAAAGTTAAAAAAATAACATTTTGAATCAAAGAGGCCCCTTTTTAAAATGGAGGATTACTAGAAAATACAAGGAACAGTTCCTTAAACTAACCTGAAAATAATCGAATTTTTGATGATGTAAACATGGTTTCATGTCAACATGAGACAATTGTCGAGGCTGACCGCAAGGATCATTATCACGCCAGTAAAATACCTGAAATAATTTTAGTGTCATAGCGAACCAAGTATTTAACTTTAACGAATATTGAAATTTAAAGTTCAGATTATTATATTTAGGTCGTCAGATTTCTACACGGTATCATTTCATTGCTTACTTGAACACTTTTTCGGAGTCTATCACAATATGCATTTATATGTACATAAAGTTGTAATGTCTGTTTGTTTGTTAAGATGTCCGATCATAACTCGAGAACCGCTTTACCGATTTGCCTCAAATAACTTCACGGGAATGTTCTTAGCTTGGTTTTGAGATTATAAGTCTATGGTGGGTCCGTTTTTATAGAGAAACATATCTAAATTAGTAATTTACGACCAAGCGCGGGTAAACGGCGGAAGTAACTATTTTAATCCCAGGGCAACGCTTGGTTCTCGAGCCAGTATTTTCATATTTTTCCCCATTATTGTTTTACCTCCCGCTGAATTTCCTCTGGTTGAACATCTGTAGCATTTACAATAATATCCCAGAGCGTTATACTTCTAAACTCAAAACAATAAATAATATGAAAGGGAATGCTAGCGTCATTTCAAGTGACCCTCCAAGCAAAGTTGCCTACGTCCTATTTTCAACGGTACGGTTAAAAGCTTTGTCCGGTCTTGTATGAATTAGATATCAATAATTTTTTTTTAACTGTTTATTTTCATTAGCGGTTTCTCTGCAAAAGTACCTTGCGCATTTCTTTGTCTAGAAGAAGTATTGGAGAAGCTGACATAAATAAACTTTTTTTAAAGTAAAAAAAACGATCGTATCTTCACACTTTTGATTAAGTTTTCAAAGGAACATGGAACGGATTTATTGAATTAGATAAATTATAATGTCAAGAAAGCTGAATTATTTCTCTATTAAGGCCGTCAGTGCGTTATGCCTACTGGATTATTGTCGACTACGTCAGTAGAGAGAGTGGGGAAATCGAATTTGATGAACTTATAGGCGCTCCTGGACGATAACCTAGGCTCCGACCTCCCCCAGGAAATCCTCTTGATATTCTTAGATTGCTCAGAGGCCGAATTTAAAGAATTTGAGCCGCGGTTCAATTATGGTTGGTTTCACTTCAAATTGCATTTAATGTTTCAAGATTTAAGCCGGCGCTCAATTGAAACCAGCTTTTGACGGATTTAAGACGCGGTTCAAATTTGGACCCCTCGGGAAATCGCCCATTTGGTCTTCCATAGAGGCATATAGTTTTACATTTCAAAGTGTGAGGAATAAAACAGTGGAACAGGAAAAAAAACATTTCATCAATTTCATGTTAATTTTAGGTTGATTTAAAACAAATGGTTTTACAATTAAAGGAATTGTTCAGCTTAAAGGGATTGATTACTAATATCATATTTCTCCAAATAAAAAAAAGATTATTGTTGATAAATTATTGTTGATAAAAATAAAAAATAAATCAAATTGAAAATATAATGGTTTTGTTTCCTAATTGCTTCAATTTCTTCATCTGTGAATATGTTGCTGTCTCTATTTTCAAACCAAAATCTAAAAAAATGAAAAATATCGTGCTAAGTTTTCCATTGCATTCTAAATAAAGAACTGAAATCCATTGTAAACACAATTTAAATTGATTCTTAATCATTGATGACTAAGCGATGCATATCTATATTTAAATGTTGAAATGATTATTAAACCTCAGAATTTTGTGAACAGAATAAGTTTTTTACATTATTTCATAACTATTTTGATAATTTCTACTGATTTTCTACAGAGAAGTATGAGATATCACAGAAAAACGCTGGTTATCTCTAAATAAGTCAGATATATTATAGAACAAAATGTAATATTATTTGATATACAGGGTGTCCCAATAATCATGGGAATTCAAAGAAGAACACGAATTTGTCTTTGTTTAGTGTTCCGATGGTTTAATTAAAGCTACGCCTGCTAGTGTAAATTTCATGTATACGCACTCTAGTATGCCGAGACCACTAGCGCATGATCCAATCAGCCAAGTCTTTGTTGTCTATTCTGAACCAATAGAAATAGTATGGCGGTAACATCTATCTTTCTATCTATCTCATTATCCAATAAGAGATGAATCACTATATCGGCGCTATAACAGTAAACGGAAATATTTACTTCTACTGAAACTATGTGATACGGTAAAATACTGTCCTGTTATTCTATATAATATTTACTTCGACTGAAACTATGTGATACGGTAAAATACTGTCCTGTTATTCTATATAATATTTACTTCAACTGAAACTATGTGATACGGTAAAATACTGACCTGTTATTCTATATAATATTTACCTCGACTGAAACTATGTGATATGGTAAAATACTGTCCTGTTATTCTATAATTTAAAACATTGTATGATTATCTCTGTATATACATATAATGTTTTGTTTTGACACTTGTATGTTCATTATATTTTAGTTTATTTTATTCATGACTTTTTATTGTTTTCTAGCCTTTATTTGTGCAACTTTATATCATTTGCATTTAACTTCTGTTTTTATTTTTGATATAATAATGACTTTTTTAATGTAAATTTATTTTTAGAAAAAAAAACCAAATAGATTATCAGGTAAAATAGGTGGCAACAGAGAAATGGACCAATTATACACAACGTCACAAGTGTCAAATATAACAAGGAAACCGAAATTTTCTCACATTAGTTGACATGTTTTCCAAGATTAAATAAAAAAGTGTGAAAAAATTGCACTTATTTTTCTGTAAGATAAGCACTTTATTCTAAAATTATCACTACTAATAATTTTGTCGGACACAAAAACTGAATTGACACTTGTGACGTCAGAATACAGCTGTACTGAGAGTGTACAAATTCTACGTTGCCATCTATTGTAATAGAATCTATTTGGAAAAAACGACATTATAGTTGTACTGTGTTTGTTAATTAACAAAGTACAACTGGGTGTTCTCCAAACATAAACAAACACATTCTTAACTCTAGTAAACGAAACATCAACGGATTACAGCTTTCATATTTTCAAAACCGTGACTGAATTCTCATGTTTGGGACACCATGTAATCGATTGCGGTGGTTTTCTCATTCAAAGTTTACATTATCGTTAGAATATTTTTAAATGAATGTAACATCTATTCTTCCGTATATTTTTTTGTAGTCTGCTTAGAGCGCCATTCAAATAATAGGATGTCAACTATAAACATAATAAGAAAATATTAAAAATAAAAAAGTCTAAACAAATTACCTATCCCCATCTCGTATTCGTTGGAACTGATCCTTGATTATATTCCTAAAATTAATTAATTAAAAAAAATTAATTAAATTTTTCAAATATTCTTCTTTTATACTTTCTGAAAAATAAGTTTTTGTATGTAAAACTAGAATATTTATTTACATGTTAAATCAGATTTATGCATTGTGTTAAAATATTCTAACGTTTTGATCGACACATCTAAAATACTGAAGGCAGTTCGATCCCTTGAAAAACATTTATTGACCGGTATAATCGTCTATTTGTCGTCTATTGGTTGGCCGTGCAAAATCCAATGATCAGAGTGCCAAACAAAGCCTTTGCTCAAATAGCCGACGACTTGATCAAAAATACTGTTTAGAAGGTTTTCTTAAGGCAAAATAACATTTTTAAGATGAATAAATAATTATCTAACATTTTGATAACCATTAAGAAAATATACGTCCACAGTGAGAATATATTTATATCACGGAGACAAATTTAAAATAGACGTTTTTGCAGTTTGGAAAGTGCAGATAGCATTAAAACCTGAAATCACTCCGTATTGTCTCATTGTGAGCATGACTTTTAATGTTTCATTAAAAAACATAAATGGCTTGCATACTAGTTTGTTAAATACAGTGGTAACCAGAAAGCAGTGGAATGATTGTCGTTATCGTTTTATCTGTGAAATATAATTGTACTTATTAATTTTTACTAATCCATCTGAAGTCAAACATTTTGCGTTGTGATTATCTCCCTTTTCTGCAGACTTACGGATCTGATTCATCTCCGATATCTATAAGTGGTCATACCAGCTGTAAGGATAACTATAATCAATGGATTCAGCATTGTTCCTTAAAAGTGCCCCATTAGATATGGATGAAGTGATAAAGCATGTAAGATTCACAAAATCCAAACAAAACCAAAAGTTCCGATCTCTTAGCATTGATACAAGAAGGAAGACGACAACTATTTCATTGTCTCTGGGTACCCCTGTTACCTAAAAAGTGGTCCAGGTCCCTCATCCGACTCCAGCATACCTCCAATATACAGATCAATATCCTAGATACAAAAAAACTGCACTTAGTCTCGAAAGGTTTAATTTTTTATCAAAACACACAAAATTTTTTAAGTCGAAGTCGAAAATATTATCTTTATTACTGCCTTGATAATGACCTCATGCTTTCTAAGTTATACTGTTCTTAAAAATGAAATATTAGATACTTTATATCTACATTGTCCATAACGATAACCTATAAATAGTCCAAGACTAAAACCATGAACATGACCTTGACCTTCACATTGACCTTGACCATGACCTTTACAAAGACCTTCACCATGACCTTGGCCATGAACTTGACTATGAGCTTGACAAAGACCTTGGCAAAGACCTTGACCATAACCTTGACCATGACCTTGACCATGACCTTGATCGCGACCTTGACCTTGACCATGACCTCAACCATGACCTTGACCATAAACTTGGCCATGACCTTGACCGTGACCTTGACCATGACCTTGACCATGACCTTGACCATGACCTTGACCATGACCTTGGCCATGACCTTGGCCATGACCTTGGCCATGACCTTGGCCATGACCTTGACCGTGACCTTGACCATGACCTTGACCATGACTTTGACCTACCTGAAGACCCTGAGGTCCGTAAAGATTTTCCAGTTTATGGAATATTTCTGGGTCCTCCTAGATTAAAATAAAATAAACTTGATTTTAATTTACATCTTTATAAAAATCTAAAAACACATGTAAACGAAATAAAACATCAACAAAAAACCAAATTATCCTAACAACCCAAAATTAACATTATTTAATTTTAGTTATTTAATCTATTTTCCAACATTGTGCGTGCATTATATACATTCTAATTTTACTTCTTAAATAGAACGGGCGAAAATAAAAAAAATATTTTATTCTTCAATTTTTTTATTGCTGTTGTGTAGACACATAAAGCCAATATCTATAATTTACCTTATACAATTTCGGGTTTATGTCACTCCAATTTGAAACTGGTTGAAGACCAAAATACATTCTAAAATGTAAACAGGCACTTATTTTTATTTGAATTATTTTTTTGGTCGAGGGGGGGAAGGTCATCCTGATCATGAAGAGGTAGATGGTCATCCTGATCANTAAATAAAAATGTAAATTTGGTGAGTCTTGAATCTTGATTCCAAAAGAGGAAAAAAGTAATTCTAGTATACGCTAAAGGGGCCGAGCGCTGCTTCTAGCATACGCTAAAGGGACCGAGCGCTGCTTCTAGCATACGCTGGCCGAGCGCTGCTTCTAGTATACGCTAAAGGGGTCGAGCACTGCTTCTACTCTACACTAAAGGGGCCGAGTGCTGCTTCTAGTATACGCTAAAGGGGCCGAGCGCTGCTTCTACTCTACGCTAAAGGGGCCAAACGCTGCCTCTGGTACACGCTAAAGGGGCCGAGCGCTGCTTCTAGTATACGATAAAGGGGCCGAGCGCTGCTTCTAGTAAACGCTACAGGGGCCGAGCGCTGCGAATTGCACTTTACAGAAAGAACAAACATTTTTCTACCTTATTTCTAATATCTGCACAAAGAGTTGCATCTTCCCTCTCCGCTATTTGAGAACTCATACCTATAATATTATTCTTGTGTGATTTCAAAAAGTCTAATTTAATCTTAGAGAGGGACTGTCCACGTATAATTTAAATTGACCCTCCAGTCAGGGGCATACAAGGCGGGGGCCCCCCCTACGCGTGCCCTTCCTGAGAGGCGGGGGGCACCCATATAAAATACTTTAAAATCTCACTTTTGCCCTAAACTAAAAAAGTTTCATTAAAAAAACTTTAATCAATACTGTCAGCGTCTTCAGTGTAAATATATCTTTGATATCATTATTTATAATTATACAATATGTATCGTTTCTATTAAAATATAAATAATTTTTAAGAAACGTTTCCATCTCTATTTTTTACCCATTGAATAAGAGGAAGTGTCTGATGAGTCCACTTAATTATATATTACATAAATAATTTATTAGCACTTGTTATATGGAAGTGTGTATATATGATAGAATGCTTACATAAAAGATATCAATATTTTTCAAAAAAGTTTTTTTTAAGGGGGGCACGATGTTGCCAAGGGGGGAGGCACAATTCTGCGCAATTACGCGCGCAATAAGTGACCCCCCCCCCCCACATAAATGCTCTCGTACGCCCCTGACCCTCCTAAGTAAAAGTTATATGCCCTCACGCACCTCTGAACCTTTAGTAAAAGTAAATTCAACCTAAAGTCTGACCGCGTCGACCTTGTTGCACCGCCTAGTCCTATTGAGTGTCTGCTTTATTTACCCAATATCCGGGCGAGTTGGGACCGGAAAGGTTGTCCCGGCTCGGAAATTCAAATGTACCACGTCTGCCCGTGCCCTATTCAGGATGGTATCCTCAAAACACTGGAAGAAATTAGGGAGATAAGAAAAGAGATTAATTTCTCAACTTTCTAAACATCTTCTGCTTCTGTTGATATCCGCATAATCGCATGTCAATTAGATAAAGAAAATGGAACGAAAATTTATCAATTTAAAGAAAGAAAAACTCAGAATTTTTCTGTAATTTTTTTCTCAGACAAATCGATTATGAATCTCGCTATATGAAGTGTCAATTAAAATAGTCGGATAAAACGGACTCTATCAAAAACAACAAGAATTAGAAGTTCACCACATTAAACATGAACAAATCAATATTTTGATTCGTTTTCATAAATCCCTGTCTAATTTTCTATGCAACAGGCCAAAAAGTTGAAAAAAATGAATTTATCACAACACTATTCTCGTTCAATTTACTGACATAAGCTGAGCCATGAATTTTCTACAGGGTGTCCCACATCATATTAGACCGAGAACGGGTCTAAATTGCGATTTGGGGGACAAATCGGAAAATTTAAGAAGAATGAATCATTTTGAAAAATTTAATAAGGCTAATAGAAATTTTTTTGCAGAAAATGCTAGATTTTTTAGTATAAGGTGCGTATTTAGGTGTTAAAGATTGGAGATAATCTAATATGATATGGGACGCTCTGTATTTTTTTTTTAATTGTGTAACAACAACTCAAAACATTTACAATCAGTGAAAAATATTTTATATGAAATTGAAAAGCAACCTACCTCGTAAGATGTTCTCAACTTTGGGCCCAAACACCTAGCAACAGAAAAAAATGTATATTAATAAGTTTGTTTAGATTTTTTACCATTTTTGTGAAAGTTGATTAACTCTAACTCATCAACAGAATAGTGGGATTCATAAAACTGTGAAAAAGAAAGATGACCTTTATACAACTTGATGTATATTTGATGATGGAATCAATAATTTAACAATATTAGTGAGACACCCAGTACAAGTATATAACAATATTTGTGAGACACCCTGTAGAATAATTTAACAATATTTGTAAGACAGCCTGTAGAATAATTTAACAATATTTGTGAGACACCCAGTACAAGTATATAACAATATTTGTGAGACACACTGTAGAATAATTTAACAATATTTGTGAGACAGCCTGTAGAATAATTTAACAATATTTGTGAGACAGCCTGTACAAGAATATGACAATATTTGTGAAACACCCAGTACAAGTATATAACAATATTTGTGAGACA